TATGGCGATGCACGATGCGCCCCGCTCAGCCCCGCGGTGCGCCGGCCGACGAGGCGACACGCCGCACTACCGCCACGCGGCGGGTATTTTTAAAACGGCCCGACGGCGTGCGTTCCGCGGCCAGGGCCTAGGTAGGTGAGCGGCATCCGGCGAGCCATCCGCAGCGCGGCCCCTGACTGGCGGGCAACGCAGCCACTCTCGCTACCAGCCAGACTCCCTCGCGATCGCGATGACCAACGCAAACACATGGCCCGTGCTGGAGTGCAGGGCTGCCTTGAAAAAGAAGCAAGAGGGCCCCACAGCGGCCCCCGACGAGCCGACGGCCAGTGACGTCACCGAGGCCGCACTTGTTCTGCACTCGGTTTAACGGGCTGCCAAAGAAGTGCGTCCGACAGCTTCACTTTGCCGGTTTGTTTCCGCAGTGCCAAGTCGCGCGTACCAGAATAGCGCCCCCTTGGCGTGGTCCAGGACGGCCCCCCGGTCCGGGGTCGCCGTCGACGGGCCGTCGGGGCGGTAATCCGAATGGGCGGCACGGCGCCGAGCACGCCCTCTCCGACCACTGACAAACGGTGGCGCGGCGCTTCCGGAAATAGGATCCAAAACGGGCGGCCCTAGCGGCCCTAGCGGCGCAGGTACTTGAGGGGAGCCCTCCTGGCGCGTCGCCGCGTACCTAGCCGCGTACTCACCGAGCCCCCGCGTCGGCCTGCACACGGGCGGCGGGTGGCTCCACTGGCCCGCGGAGCAGGCCGCCAGCGCCGCCCCCTGCAGGCGGTACCCGGGCTCACATCCCGACTTGGCCAGCGCGGCCCGGCCCCCAGCGCCGCGCGGCAGATGCCGCGTCCAGCCGTGCGCGGGGGCGGCCCGGGGGCGGCACGACGGGACGGCCACTCCCCCGCCTCCCCCAGGCGAGGGGGCCACGGGGCCGGCCGCTCCTGAAACAGAAACACACAGTTACGACCTCCAAACACAACACCACGGCGTCGCGGCGCGTCGCGGCTCGGCGGGGCGTCTTCGGCTTTTAGCGGCCATTCAGCCCGCCTCGCGGTGGCGGCGCGGCGGCGCCTGGCTTTACACCGGCCGTGTGAAACGCGATATGAAAGCCGTAAATCCACGGCTCTTGGACGAGGCGAGGCATCATTTCGGGAACGAGAGCCACGGAGGAGGAGGGCCGCGTTGCCGATGCCCGCCCGGCCTGTCGAGCCTGCCGCCTGCCCCCATTGACTGATTTGTGGACGCGATAAATAACTCGCGGCCGCCACGCCCCCTGTCGACGGCCCGTCACCACCCCGGACAGTGCAGGCCCTGCATGGCCCGCGGCGCTACCGCAACAGGTGCTGGCGAACCCGAGGCGAGTGGACGGCGCCGTTCCCCCGTCGACGGCTTCCTCGCTACGCACCGGCTTGTTATTCAGGCCCAGGCTGATTCCGAACAGTGCTGTCGCCGCTCTATCTCTCTCGCACTCACGGGGCGTCCCGGGGGGTGCGAGGGAGACAGAGCGGCGGGCCCCGCGGGGCGTCGTCTCAGAAAGCCGAAGGGGGCCGCGAGGCTGGTGCATCGGCGGCTACAAATGGGGCCGCGTCCCCGAGCTTGTAGTGTAGGGCCGGCCGACCAGCCACAAACACGGTGTCGCTAATCGGCCATCGCCGTCATCGCGGAAGGGCCGAAGGCTGGAGCACCTTTGGGCGGCCCGGTCTGCAGCCGACGGGCCGACGCGCCGACGGGAAGACAAAGGCAAAGCACGCGCGCGCTCGGCGGCTCGGTCACGAGCTCAGTCACGAGTCTCGCTTCCGAACATTAATCGTCTCCCCCACTATAAATTACCGTCCCCGCGGAGTGGAGTGCATCAGTGCATCCTTCGGCCCTTCGGTGCGGCGTCGTGTCGCCCCGCCCCCCGGAGAGCGTCCGTCTGAACGCGACGGACTGGCGGCGTCGAGCCATTCGGACCGTGCGCCGTGCGTTTGGGTTTCCAGTTAGCCCTTCCTGTCCCTGTCCACCCCGCATCGCCGCATCGCCATGGCATCGCCGCATCGCCTGAGTCAATAGTCCATGCGACACACACGCACACAGAGCCCCGCGCCAGTCCGGGCGCGTTGGCGCGTCTGCCCCGCGGAGGGACTCCGGCAAGCTAAGGACTCTCCGGCCGGCCACGCCGCCACGCCACGGCAGCCCGTGCTGCCACTCCCGGCCCGGCGCGCTCATCAAGCCCCCGGCGGCCAAATTGATTATCGGCCGGCCCGGGCACCATGCTGCAGCAGGCCGCTCTCGAACCGCGAGTGCGAGAGAGACAGAGCGAGGAGGTCCCTGTTCGGAATGAGCCGCCAGGCCCGCCCCCTGCAAGGTGTGGCGTATGGCGGGTGCGGCCCGGCCAATCAAAGCGCAACATTTATCCACGTCGCCGTCGTGGGGGCCGTCATCGCGCAGCTCGGCCGCCGCCACGGCCGCAACCCGGACGCCGACGCCTTATTGGGGGCCTCGGACGCCACCGTGCTTGGTCCTCGGCTACCGACTGCCGCCACGCAGAAACCGTTTCGGCGTTTGCTGAGCTCGCTCTTGGCGGCATGCTGTTATTACGCGACAGGGCGGCGCGGGGCGGTCTGCAGCATCACGGCGCCGTCCGGCGGCATTTCACGAACCGCGAGGTTTGAGCGATCGCGCTGGCCGCGCCGAGCCGACAGCGCGCTGCGGGGGGGGGCCGGGCGGGGCCCCCGGTGAACGCGCTGATCCAGTTCAACTCGAGCGCCTTCCCCAGCGCTGCATGCACGGTGCAAGTGGCAGCAGGCTGGCGTTCGCCAGGCACCGCGGCACGGGTGCGGAACATTGCGCCGAGACATGACGGCAGACGCGAACAGACGGCGGGGAATCTGGCCTGGCGTTGGAGGCGCGGACCGCGGAGGCCCGCCGCGGCGAGGCCTCAAGTTACGCCGCTCCGCCGCTCCGCCCCGCACCACTTTGTTGCTGCAAATCAGCCGACTTCGCGCTGCTTGCCCTCGCGCGGCGAGAGCACCGTTGCCAGGGCGTAATCCCGTCTAAAACAGGCAGAGCTCCGCTAGCGCGTCTGGAGCGGCCAATGGGCCAATGACTCACTAGAGACAGTGCCGCCCTCACCCCGGCGGCCTCGCGGGACCGCGGAAGGCACGCCCTGCGCTGCCTCGCGCTGCCTCGCTGCGTCGGGTCCCCGCCAGCCTTAGCCAAGGCTCGCCTCGCCGGCCGGGGAGGGAAATGGGGGAGGGGTCTGTGTTTTCCTTCCAAACACTCGGGGGACGTGACACGACCGCCGAGCGCATCCCGCGCCGAGGGCCGAGACTGCCGAGACCTGTCCTGGTCACGGGCCCAGAGTCAACAGCAGCAGCCCTTGGAGAGTCCCTTGGAGAGGCCGGCGCGTGCACGTGCACGACGGCCGGCCCATTCATCGCGCAGCAACACTTTCATCCGCTGTTTCAATGTCTCGTCGAAAGCGGCAAGTGCCGACCCTCTGGTACCCTCTGGCGCGCGGCTGTACCTGTCTCCCTGTCGGCAGCATGTCCCGCCGGGGAAGTCCCTCTCCCGCCCGCGGCCCGCAGGCCTCGCTCCGTCTCTCTCGCACTTGCCTGCGCTCCGCGCTCCACCATGGCTGCTGCGGTCTACCGGCCCGTGGCGCTCATCCCGCACTGCTGTACAAATCATTTAGTCTCGCATCCGGCGAGTTAATGAATCTGCTGGCCTGCCGGCCGAGCGCGGCGCGGCTCAGCAGTCTGTGCAGCTCTTTGACGGACGGCTCGGCGGGCAGACCGAGCACTGCAAGGCCCTGCGCGCCCTGCGGTAGGCAGCCAGAGAGGACGGCGAGGCGCGTAGGATGATTCGCCGAGCAACGTTTGACGGGGCCGTCAAAAAGACGCGGCGCTGAGTGACTTCGCGCGGTCTAGAAGCCTGGCGGTGTGCTGGGTCTCTCGCTGCTGTCTCTCTCGCACCTGTGGGGCGTTCCATAGGAGTGCGAGGGGGACAGGGCGACGACACCGCGGTTCGGAATCACTCTGCCGGCGAGTCAAGTGGCGCTGGCGCCAAGCGATAAATCACGGTACGACGCGGAGGGGCAGTGGCCCCGCCGAGGCCCACCCCCCACCATCCCCCCGGGTCCACGACCCTTGGCGTCGCGGGGTGGCGACCAGTGTTCGGAGGACGCCGCACGGACCACCGCGAACCACTTCATGGAAGAGGACAAGAAAGACAAGGAAAAGCTCCAATGCAAGCGCTTCCGTTCCCAATTTTCAAAAACGGCAAACGAGCCCGGGCACAATGTAGAGCGGCAAGCAGCTGGAGAAGATCGGAAAAACGGGGGGCGTACCCGGTCCCTCCAGGACACGCCAGAACAAGGACGTATGCAAGGGGTGGCCAGAGAGAGGCCTCAGACAGAGCCTGCGCACTCACCTGGGGGAAGCAACGCCGAACACAAAATGGCCAGGGCGAGGAGAACGACCCCGCCGCTCCTGACCGTCGGCAAGCCCGCCGTCGGGGTGGTCCTGCTCACGTCCACGTCCATGGGGTCCATGCCGGTCACGCGTCGTGCTCGTCACGGCATGGCCAAGGCATGGCGTCGTACTGCCGCACTGCTGCCGCCTCGTCTCGGCGTCTCGGCCAGTCGAGTGTGGAGTCCGCGCGCGACGGCCTGACGGGCGCAACGTGCTACGGCGGCGGCACTGCTGCGTGCACGGCGGCGCTGCACCGTCTGCCTGCCGCACTGCACCGCACCCGGTTCCCTCCTGCCGCCCCTGCCGGCTCCATGCTGCCCGAGTGCCAGCGGGCCGGCGAGGGGGGCGGGCTGGGGGCGGGGCACTCTGCACTCGGTCCCGTCGCGCTCCGCCCAGCTCCGCCCCACCGGGCAGACGGGCCCTTCCCCCGCCCCGACCCGCTGGCACCTGCAATCACCCCAGTGGACTTCCCTCTAAGCTCACAGACCAGATCCAAGCGCACAATGTGCTCCCTGGGCAATGTAGCGAATGGGCCTTGGAAAACAAACACAGTCATGCATTAGGTGATTGGTTTATTAAGCTTTCAGATCAGGTTCCATTACAAGCAACAAACATCGCGGAACCAGCTGAAATCCGACTTGACACGGTTCACTTCACCGGCCGAGTTCCGAGGATCAACGATGTCCATTTTGGAAAGAGAGAACAGGATGCTACAGCCGCCGCCGTCTTCTAGGAGGAGTCTCTAATGGAGTGGAGTGTATTGCAGATTCTCTGAAATAGAGAAAGAGAGACAGTAAATAAGAACTATAATGCCCCAAGGAAATAGGTATAAACAGCAACATGACCTTACCCAAAATTTGGAAAACCTGTGGTTACTTCTGGAGATCGGGCTTCAAAACTCTGTTCAGGGCTCAAGTTTAAGGATGAATCATCCGCTTGGGCAGAATATTCTGACTCATCAAAATCTGCTTCTTTTTCTTCTGGAATGTCCTCCTCAGCAACAAACTATTGAGTGCAAAGGAACATTGAATAAATGAGACAATCAACACCTACCAAACAACTTTGCTTAAACATTCTTCATACCTTTCTCTTTTTGGAGGAAACCCGTAAGTATTTTAAAATTTCAGCAAAATCAGCTTCAGATAAATGAGGCACATAGTCACCCATTGTCTCATAAGGCACTTCAGAGTAAAACGGCCGAGGCAATACTACTTGAGGTGTAACAGGTTCAGCCACTGCAGGCGCATACAACTTCAGAGAAACGTCAAGAAGCTCAAACACAATACTGTATATCTGGAAATTAAGAACAGCATCACAAATGAAAATTGTGGACCTTTTGGTGTAATATGGGCATGATCATAATTCTACATTTGGGCACTTTGGAGCAGAAGATCACCTTTCTCAAGGTTGGTTCCACAGTGTTAAGTAAACTTTGTTTAGCATTATCACACACTTTCTGTAAGTACACATTTGAAACTTGTCCACCATATGTTTCTGGATGACAAACCATTCTTCGGACAAAATCAAAACATTTGGATACCTCTAAAGCTAAATCCACATTCTCTTTAAAAACAGATTCAGTAGCTAATGACCAGGATGATTGAAACAGACTGTGCTCAGCAATAATTGGTGCAGCAGCAACAAAAATTAACTCAATGACCAGATGGGGGTATTTTCCATAGAATTTGCTCACTGCAACAAAAAATCACTGATGACAAAATATTTTTGCTGGAAAACTTTCTCACAGTAATTCAAGAAGAAAATCAAAACTTACTTGAAAATGGATGAACTTTAACAAAAGCAATATATCTTGAAACGCATACTTCTTTCAGCAAAGCTTGTGCCATTGCTTCACTTTCTGCTGTTTCCATCCACACATTAGACCCAAGAAGGGCCAGAAGGCCTAACATACAAGGTGGAAGTTTGCCTCTGCGGCGACCAATCTTGCATGACCTTATTTTGTACAAACACAATCCTTGCACTAATTTTTCGGCAAATATACGTTGAACTTCAATGCGAGGATCCTAGAAACATATGATTCAAAATTTTCAAAAATCTTATACACCCTAGAAAATTAAAGAGTAGATTTCAGAAAAGAGAGAATCTTTTTAACTTACTGTTATCACATTGGAAAGTAAGAGCAGCAACTGTTTGGATATCTTTGAATGAAATTGAGCAGTTTCAAAAACGTTCAGGACAGCAGTTGCAGCTTCGCACCGCAGTCGATCTCTATCTACTTCCCTCAAGTGACACATGCCATTGCCCGAATCGGACAGAATTTCAGCAAAAGCTTCTAGTACCTCTGTACAGCTTCTCATTGTGCCACAATATCGTACGCACCTTCCAATGGAGCGCAGAGCTTGCACCTGCAATTAACAGATATTGCAGAAATGTAAAAAAATGCATGGTGACAAATTTTTAACTTACCTTTATAGATACATGGAAAGGAAGTTCTTTCCAATCAACCCATGTGTTATTAGAGAAAGTTGAATCATTTGAATCTGAACATGATGCTTGTTCACCCTGTTTAATTACATCTGTCAGCAGCTGAAATGGGGGAGGGGCAAAAGAAACATGGTGTGACAAAGAAACAAAAACAATAAATCAAAGAGGGAAAATAATTTTTCATTCCGACAGCTTACCACAGACGTACAATAGTCTTCGACATTACGCTTCAACGCAGAAGGGCAAACAGGTGCAAAATGTCCAAGAGCAGACACACCCCGTTCAAATGCTTCATTGTCATCTGGGTTGTCCAGATTGTTCGATATTATCTAAAAAGACAAACGGAAAGAAAAAAAAATGTTTTAAAAGAAAGCAGTAACAAAGGAAATTAAATTACATTGTACTAAATGATAGGGCGCTTACTTTGAAAACATGGGTTAAATCTTCATCTCGTGTAGTGGATGAGTGGCTGGCTACACATCTGATTGCCATCTTCACTTGACCTCTAGATCCAGAACGAATGATGTGAAACCATACAGGTATCATATTCTCTCGTAAGTACTCATTATTCCAAGTACCTAAATAATTAAAAATAACAAAACAGTTAGACATTTCAAATAAACATGGCATATTTGAACTGTGTAGAAATTTTGGATAGCACCACCTCCAAACCATTTTCTAGTTCTAGTCAAAAATGTCTATCTGTATTTGGAGTCATTTTATCAGCACTAACACTAAGCATGCTCACCCAAGGGGAAAGGAGACAAAGAAGTCAAAGTGCGCAAAGCAAGCTTACTGAGACTACCATTTAATAACTTGGACCACTTATGGATCAAGTTCAAAACGTCATCATTAAGACCCATTTTAGGCTCCATAAATAGTGCCTCCTGAAAACAGAATATGATTTAATGCAAGATGAAGTTAGAAACCTTTTAAAAAGTAAGACTAGACTTCTAGATAAATTTACATTTAGAAGGCGTAGAGAGGTCCGGGCTACATGGAGGCGATTTTCCCCCATAGCTGAAGAAACTGCATCCCCCATAACACATGAATCCACCAACTCCATTAGATGCTGAAAACATCATGGCATTGATTAAACTACATTTGCAGTAAGAGGAATAACAGGAAATGAAAGAAAGCTACATGGTAGATATAAACAAGCCAATAGCCAAGAGAAATGAGACAGTAGTCTTGAGTAAGCAGCCCAAGCTTAACATGACAAAATTATCTTGAGGGTTGCAAACTGAACCTGGAAACACTCTTGTGAGAATATAGCTTACCTTCATGGATGAATTATCAAAAGTAATTTCACACAAATAAAACAGTAGTCCATCAAGAACTTCTTTGTCAATATTATTTCTAGTAAGAAAAAGTGTCTTTATTCGTGTCTGAACAAAAAATAAACAAGAAGTAGAGAAATGAAAAAATTGAATATAATACATTATTGGAAGTACACTCTACAGAGTTGAAAAATACTTACAGTAATTTTAAAGTTAACACTGGCAGAATTATTGCAAAACACAAGCTGCCGAAGCAGCTTCTGTGTTTCAGGAATGTTTGCCAATACAGGAAAAAATTCTTCCATCAGAAATAAATAGGCATCAACAGTACTTTTAGAAATGAGCATGGGACTCAGTTGTGATACGCACTCTGACAACCTTTGACTAGCCTGAGCTTTATCCTTATGGCTTATGCATTGCAAAATAGTATAAACCAATTCGCGGGTCCTGATGGACCATGAAGTATTATCATGAAAGTCGTAGCGACTTATTACCAATTTAAAAATCAAATGAATACAAACCTTCTGGTCTTTAGGAATAGTTCATGAAGGATGCTCCACTCTTCTAAATCAGTATTTATCCATAAGTAGAGAAACATTTTCATCCTCTGTTCTTCAGCCATGTCATAGGGCACTAACTTTTTCACAAAAAGTTTACGAAGCATACACCTTCAAAAATGAAAAAAATTAATTTCAACTCATATTGGGTGCTAGTAGGCTATCAGATTTTACATGATGAAAAGAACTGTACCATCTTTGATTGCGTGGAGACAAGGTACTACAAGTGCTTAGTAAACAAGAAAGGAGCCAGGAAGAAGTTTCATGAAAATCGAGCAAACTCATATCCATTATGCCAGTTTTTGCAGCATCAGTGTACATGTCACTCAGATCCTTTATTAAACGTTGTTGAGCATCATCAGAGAGCTGAAACAAATTTTACAAAAACCATCAACTAGATTTACATTTATGTTTTAAAGATAGATTGAAAGACCATACACACCACATAATCACTCTTTGGATCTAAAAAATTAATTATGAGCTGTGGCAGTGACTTTGGTCCTGATTTTAGGAGGAATGACAAATCGCCTCTGACAGCAGTTGTGATTCCTGACACCAAATGTAATTCACATTTTTTTGGTAATGAGAATTGGAACAGGTAAAAGAGGAGGCCACACCATGCATCATGGGTTCCAGGTTGACACAAAATATCAGGAGTATATTTTGCAAGAATCCGAAGCTCATTGGATTCAAGCAAAGAGGTCTTCCTGCAACTAATATTTAAAAAAAAAGAAGAGTGAAAGAGGGGGGAAGGGGGGGGAAGGGGGAGGAGGGAAGAGAAAAATACTCATTAGTTTAAAGAACTTATTTCCTAGTTTGTCGACCTGAGTCCAGGATAATTCAAACTCACTGGTTAAGAAATGTTTCCCAGAGGTGGGAATAAAACTCTGATGGTTTTTCTATTCCTGGTACTTTAGATCCAAATAACTTGCAAAAAAATTCCAATCCGTCTAAGCGATCCTCCCTACCACTGTCTAGGCATAATTCAGTGTTATTTATGAGGCCTAGAACAAGGTCTTTGTTAATTAACAATAAAGCAAAAATAATTTTGTAGACATCCTGATGAGATGCAAAGAGCTTTGATGTAGCTGCGTCACTTATTAAAGCTCCGTTCAGCACCTGCTTGAAAAAGAATAATAATTTAGAAACAAAAGCATTGAAAATTATTTTTTCTATAAAGACCAACACAAGTAACTGACCTCTCTAATAGAATCAGCTAACTTATAACCACAAGCATTCAACAAACATTTAACTGCATCCTGAGCTTTATCAGAAAATGGTATCACAAGTTGGACCATTAGAATATCTAAAATTTCGTATAATGTTTCACGTTGCTCCTGCTGATTAATGAGCCCAAGAAGACAGGTATCACGGCTCGCCATGACATATTCTGTCATTGTAACCCAAAAGTCCGATTTCCTAGGAGGCAAATGGAAAGAGATTAGGTGTAAGAGAACCGATGTCTATTTGCAGATGTAACAACTCACCCCATGTTTTGTAAACAATTTGTGAGAAATGCCTTGTACAAGCAACTGCCACCTTCAGGGACAATTTTAATGAGGCCCTTGACATTTCCACTACTAAGAAGCTTTCGCCACAGTATCTGTTGATCATGTATGATTTGTGGTAAGTTTCCAAAGCTCAAACTTTTCACAAATGTAGACAAGATGATCTAATAATGAAGGGAAAAAATTATTATACCTTATAAAACAACGGCCATAGAGTCGGTAAAAGGCCATCACATACCTGAAGTGTTGATGCACTAATAGCCTTTTGATCAATTTCAGCAACGAGCAATTTACCATAGGACCATGTTAAAGAAAAGACAGGGGCAGACCTTGTTCTCAGTGCTTCCAGTTGTCTTTTGACAAGGTCAATTTGGCGTCTTTTCGTGCTGTCTAACTTGTCAGCGTTCTTTCTCCAAAAACGAAGAAGCTCGAGACTTTTCTGAAAAGTCAACACAAACTCACAACGACACCGACATTGTGCCCACAGCATTGGGCTCAGTTGGCTCAGTGCAACAGGAGTCTTCGCTAACCCCTAGACAGCAGCAGTGAGCCACCAGTGAAGGAAAAAAATACCTTAAGATCATCGAGATCGTCCATTTTGGGCTTGAATCGTCGGGCCCTTGAAGATGCTCGCCAAACCTAAATGAAACTTCTCAAATAACACTACTCCCACCAAAGTTTCCCGCCGTGAAGACGCAGTCACGGCCGCCTAGAACCTTGAGAAAAAGCGGGAACGGAAACGGAGGTGGAAGCGAAGGGAATCTTGTGAAAGGGAAAAGGGGGAAGGGGAAGGGTAGAGGCGGGAAGGGGAGGAAGGATGGAGGGTGTTTTGATTATCAACATCAGAAGTAGTTCGTCCTGTTCGCAACAAAATTGCACGATTCTGACTTCCACTCTAGTATGGCAAGAAATTACGAGAAAAATTTCGGTAGATTGAACAGGCTTTGGTTAGAAAAAACAAAAGGTATACTTAGGCTGTTGTCATTTAATTTTTTTTACCAATGCTATTGTTAATAACCTCTCAACTGTTTTCTTGAATACTTGCATTTATTTTTGGTATGATTTGTGTTGCAGGAAAGAAAGAAAAGAGGCCCAGGCTGAGTACTCTCAAGACATCAGAAGAAATATCGTGTTGGCTTCCTTCCATAAAAGATGAATTAGATTTTTTTCTTAAGGTATACTCTCTGGAACTTTGATAACACTAGTTATTCAAGAACCTGTTAATTAAATATTAATTTAATTTTTTGAAATGTGTTTCATAACAGCAAACTGAAGTGCCTTGTTACACTGAACGCAAAATTGATGAGTGCCGTAAGCATATATCTTGTTTAGAGGCTGAATATAAAGCGTTTGTAAGGAAACTTCATCAGCTCAACTCTGGGCTGAAGACAACTCCGTGGTTACCTCGTCCTTATGAAAAGAAAAGTAATGCTTATTCTCCATTTATTTTGGTTTTCTCTGAAATATTTCCATTTTATCTACTTAAAATTTTTCTAATGTTTCTTCTGGATAATCTGTTGTTTTTCTTGCAGCATGTGTCAGGTCAGCGTTATCTTTGCACCCCTCAGGTGCAGATTTGCGGCTGGGTCAAATTAGTTCCATTCAAACTCCTGTATTGATGCATGATACTATTTATCAAGAGGATGAAGTTGAAACAGAACTCTTAGAAACAGACATTCATTGTCAGAGCAACAATGAAATGCTCCTATTTTCTAACTCAACAATTTTTACCAACCAATGCCCTCAAAGGACGATTGAACAGAAGATGATTATTGGGAAAGAATCTTTCGCCAACAATGAGAGTGGCGTATCATCAGGTACTGAGCCTCATAGGTGTGCAGATGTTTCAGAAAAAAATCCCCTTGGTCTGGATTACAGCTCATCCGACGATGAAAGTTAGCTCAACTAAGTTTATGGCAGGGCAGCAGAAAGAAATCACACATGGATATGATTCAATAGTATAACTTTATTCATAGATGTATTTATTAATATAAACTTTTTATAATGCTCATAAAATTTTGTAAATCTACCATTTACAGTATGTACAGAACAAACTTAACACACTGGGTAGGTAAAGAATTACAATTTAAGATAGACCATACATGTGTAATAATTAATATTCATCAATTCTAGTCAAATTACTAATTGACCAACACATGTGGTTGACAGGTTTTGTAAAACTTTATGTACCAATAAACTCAAATCAATGAGATGAAACAGCTTTGTTGCAACATTCCTATCACATTTCAATTAATTTAATACTGGAACGAAGTAAAAAGCAAGATGCACAAATTCATATTACAGGTTATCATTTTAGTGTAATGCAACTGATAAGGGACACCCACATTTTCATTTTATTTTCACATAACAGTCATGAGGACATGAGAGAGAGAGAAATATTCTAGGACTGCTAGATTTGAGTGCTGAGCACAAAATGAATCACATGTTCTCAATGTTTGAGACAATACTTGCACAAGTCAGTCAAAAGCTTCTTGGTACAGTTGTATTTAAAAAGTTTGTTTCGGTGACCAAATAAAGTTAAGAGTCAACTACAATTCAGTCATCAGCCTTCACTTTCCACAGAGACCTCTTTCCAGATGTTCCCTTACATATCTCTCACATTTATCTTTGAGTATGAAAATAACTCATAGAACCGGCAACAAATTCAATGATACAATATGAATGTATTGCTTAGGGAATACATTTAACTATAGATATATTTTACGTACATATATTACAGGAAGGCTTTACTCAGAAAATTTGCTTCATATTACAAAAATGTCACAAATAAGGCACACCAAAAGTTCATTTAAAATATATCTAAACTAAATGAGTAGGTGTTGAAAGATGACATTTTTAAAACACTAGATACAAGGCTAATAACAAATGGTTGCTCAAGTAAGCAACAACAATTATGCATCGAGTACATTTTGTCCCTGGACCAGGACCAGGCAAAAAAAAAAAAACAACACAATTCGGCACAAAACAATAACGACATTAGTAAAATCTTACATGGATCAAAACTTGCTGAAGTGCACTATTAACACACTGCAGAACAGGGTAACACAAAGAGTGAGCATCATTATGGCTAGAGGTAATTTCTTAACTGATCCTTGGATATCCCTCCAACATACAGGACATTAAATTATACTTGAACATTAAGCCATAAGTTTACGATGAACAGTTACAAGATCATAAAAAAGGTGTAAAAACTGCTTAAGAAAATGAAACATGTAAAAGAAGATGTAAATGGAATTGTCAAGGACCAAAAGGACAGTTAAGAAAAACAAAACTTAGATAAGAAGTTAATTTTCACTGTAAGGATCACAGCTGGTTCTGCCTCATGTTCATAGGAACCAGAGATTCTACATATTATTTTACATTTCATTAATATGTAACATTCCCCATAACTAAATATGTAAAATTATTACAAAAATTAGACAAGACATTCGTTAAAGCACCAGTGGACCAGCCATGAATACACTGGCCCCAATTCAATTGTCATTTTAACAAGAATGAATGTTTAACATGTTTAAATTAGGAAGTAAAATTTTCTGTTTCCACATGTTCAAAAATTACAATAAAATAGGCGAATCAGGGAGACAGAGAGGCTTCAAAATTCAGTCTGAGAGAGGAGATGGGTTAGCCTCTAAAGGCGATTGTATAGCTGAGTTACTATCTGCACCTAAATCACTACTTGTAATTTCTGCTGGTGAATCAACTTCTCTCTTCATGTTTTCAACACTTGGAGCGTTGGCTGCATCAGCGTCAGATTCCACAGTGGGTTCCCGTCGGTGATGGTCCGCACAGACAAGATGAGAAGGAATACTCATAGTTGGGGATTGTGCATTGCCAGCACCACCTTTACGGGCTTTTTCACCTTTACGCCACAGAGTGATTTCCTAAGAAAAACATTTAGAAATGATATGAAGAGGATGTAATTTTCAACAAACAAACTAACTAAAACTGACTTACTTGTTGCTTGAAGTATCTCCGGTCTTCATCATCCATTAAAACAAGATTCAAGTAGTACCTGACAGAGAATTTCTTGTTGATATCTCTCATAGTTGGTGTCAAATCATAGCCGGCCAAAAAGACACGAATGGGTATACTCTCTCCCTTAACAGGCGCTCCATCCATGATTTCATACTTGGCTATGGTTTCATTCTCCAAGTATGAGTTGGGACCTATGGAGACACCTAAGATCAGTCAGCATGTTTAATACAAATACCAAGCACTACCCCTGCTGACTCCACCCACCCCAATCACAGAGCATGGTCCAAGAATTACACATGCCATGCTCTCCATAGAGTAGAAATGATCATAAGTGTGAGTGGTGCCCAGGGAATTATTTGAATACAGCACTTGATGAATCCCACCGAGAGCACCAAAGTTTGGTGGTAAAGGGAAGGGGAGGAGAGCCAAGAGAGAGGCAAAGGCAAACTCTTAAGAGTCATGAAAATTCTAACATTTCTACTATATAAATTCAGGCACTTTTAATACCTGATTAAGTTCTATCAAAAACCACAAAGATAGCAGGCATACATGCAAAAAGTTTTGAATCTCTACAACTTTCAGATAAAAGGATAATATATAAAACACCAAATGATGAGAGATGAGAGAGAAAGCATCTTTGACTGTCATGCTCCAAAAGATAGATAGCAAAAGAATCCCAGAACCCTAATGGCCAATGAATCACTGTGCAACACAATAAATGATGTCTACACAAGAAGAAAGAAACACGTTAAATCAATTGAAAAAGAAACTTTGGAGCACCATGAAAATTTATGGCAAGCTTCAAAATTGATGTACTGGCCACAAATGATCTTACCTGAACCTGTCGTCTCCCTCTTAATAATGGCAATCTCCATGTGTTTGATTTTGATTCTCACTAGGAGAAAGTAGATTTTCCCCACAATGACATCTTTTAAATGATACCTACAAACAAAGAAAAAAAAAAGAAGTGAAACAATTGTAAGAATTCACACGATAGATTTAAAAATTACAGAGAGAAGGGCACTGCAATAATTACAAACTATTTTTGAACTTACTTGGATTTGTTGTACTCAAATTCTATGTGTAAGCAGTCTTCAATGCCAACTTCCATTTTTATACTGTTATTTGCATCAGGATAGGATGACAGGGTATGCACTACAATGTCAACTTCCTTGACGATGTCTGAGATTCTACGCACTATGGTAACCCTGAGGAAATATCTGTAATTAAAAAAACAAAAATAAATAATTAAGCTGTGATACAAGAAATATGATGTAAAATAGTGTCCAAAATGCTAAGTGAATGGTCTACCTTAGCCTCACATTTGAACCAGTGTATGATTCAAATGGTTTCTCCACATTAGCAAACTCAAAATTATAAGAAGTGTTTTGCATCAATTCACCAGGCCTAGCAAGGTCTTTGACAAGTGATGTGAACTCATGATGATTTCCACGATCATAAAACAAATCAATTTGACCAATAAACTCTATTTTGATACCTTGATGCTCGAGTTTGCTGCCAGGTTTTTTAAGAGAAACATTCACCTACAACAGAGAAAGTTAAATCTAGTTATAAGTAAAACTGACACGAAGTAACCTGTTACATAATGGGGGTCCAATATGATTACATATCACAAGAATTAAGGTTGTTGTGATTCCAAAAGTGAACACACATAAAATAAAATGACGTACCTTTCCTGAGACAGTTTCACCATCATAATATAACAAATGGCGTTCCTTTTTGCCTTCCTCAGTTTTGATATCAGCCGATTTTCGGTTTTCATAACCATCGAGAACAAGATCTATATCAGCGCTCTGACCAAACCCAAAAAGGCTTTGCTGAAATAAAAAATTGTTATTAAAAGAGTATCATAACAAATGTGGTGAATATTTGCTGAAGGATAATATGAGTAACTTGAAATGTATCAGCGTGAAACAGCCAAACACAAGATACTTCAAATTTATAAACAAAAGAAAGAGAAGAAAAGGGACATGAGAAACTTGTCATGGAAGATGGAAAAGTTAAGATCATAAAAGCAGCCCAGTGATCTAACGGGTTTACTGAAAATGAGGCTGAGGAATCCAATGAATGAGATAGGCAGGACTGCTGCTCATGGGCCACTAAGCCCGACGTCAACTAACGTGACAGTTGTAAGGGAATTTACACTTCCAACGGAAACCACACGTAAAGACGATCACCATTAAAAGCAGAGAAGAAAATCAAATGTAAGCGATGAAGCAGATTAACAACAGTTGATGCAGCTGTATTGGGACTTAACCACCAGTGTCCTCGGGTGAAATGTTTACTTTAACTTACCATTGTGTCGGCGGCAAGTTACTGATATTTTCTGAGCACGAACAGAGACAAGCAAACAAACTGTGTCAGCATAAACGGCATGCGTGACGTGTATGGATGCCTACTACTAGAAATATTCACTCGGACATGTCAAAGGCACAACCCTAAAATGATAACCGTGCGGGTTAAAGGCGGCCGATGCCGAGCCGATTTATCTGATGCCCATGCTATGGTCATTTGCGGTCATTTCTCTGCCGTGCTTCGAGACCACACCCACTCTTCCAGGTCTAGAAACCCAAAAACCCAATTGTTCCATTTCTGTGACTCCGTTTACCGATTGCATGAAAGTAAATATGACATTAACACTGCAAAGGCTTTCATCACAACACAATGTTTTGCCTAAGATCTAGATCACTGTCCAGAAACTGCTTTCAAAAATAACAAAGATGTCATTGTGTTTTATAAGCTGACCAAGCAGACAACGCCTCCCGTCAGCCAACTCACAAGTCATTTGGATATATTTTTCCTTTTCTCATGTTGTTAATTTAAATGTCGTAGAGCATTTCATCGTCTATCGGCATCTACAGATTTTGTACATCTATTTATTTATGCATGTGGTTCTAATAATAGATCGTGCCGTTCACATATGAACTTCCGGGCATGCTGCCGTTCTGTCACTTCACTGTCACTTGTCCTGTCCTGTCAGTGTTGTTATTCATTGTATTTCAACAATGAAGTGTTGGTGATGACTAATAACAATGATTGATAATCAAGCATGCAGCTTGTTTTTTGTTGTTTCTCATATATCTACGAGCTAGCCAGCCGATGTGCAGAAAATGGGTTCCCGAATAAGGTAAATATTGTGTGAGACGGTGGCTGCATATTTACAAGTGCAACTGTAGGTTACTGGAAACAGAATGTTTTATTTTATTGTCAACTAATGGAATCTTCTTTGGTCAAGACGTTTTAAAGAACGCTGTCTTCTTGTGTCAGCTTCCCGCTTTTGTGCAATTTTTCTGTGCTTTAGTATGCCCGTTTCAAAATTCTCATTTTCTCTCGAGCAATATTCTAATTATTTAACAGTCCTACAAAACTATAACAATTACTATGTTTATCTTTCTGTAAAACTTGTGTGTTGTGTTTTCGGTCATCTTCATTTGATTGCATCAATATTTACCATTCACTTGCGGCCAACAGTAACCTTGTAGGAACATATGTAGGTCGAATTTATGCACACTGTGTTTGTAATAAAGCGATCACATCCGTATTTCCTGTTATTCTATTGCTGTAAACTCTGTGAATTGTTTATACCCAAAAGCATTATAACTTTTTTAACCTCGTTGAATATATTACTGTTGCAGAGAAAATGTGACACACTTATTCCAGTGTTTCTGTGAGGTGGTTCAGCCTCAGCCTCCAGATAAAGAGCCTTGGATCATTCAGAAATTTCCAGAACTGTACAAGGATGAAGAAATACTGAAATCTGTCCCTAAATTTGCATATCCATGTGAATTTGTAAAGTATGTTTTGTAAAGTATGTTCTAGTTGTATGCCATCGATAATTGAATTTTCTTTTTTAAAGTCACCCTGCCTTTGTTTCATTTGTTTTAGCACTGATAATACTGTCATCCAACATTATTCTTTTGTACTGACTAACATTGATTCTAAGTGGACTTTTGGATTTTGTCGTCATGATCCCAAAACAGAAACAGCACTGGTGCTACTGAGCTATTTGCCATGGCATAAGTCGTTTTACAAGTAGGTTTGCCTGCTATAAAATGTCATTGCATTTGAAAATAATTGTATAACATCATTCCCTTTGGTGTGTATTGACTTTGCCTGGTTGTATTCTTCAGGTTGTTGGATATTATTGGAGAAATGGTCATTTCAAGTAAATCTGGAGCTGAGCAACTGTGGACTTTTCTTGATGCTGTTTATAATAGCATTGTACCTGAACAGGGAGGAAGTCTACAAGTACCTTACAACCATGGACTCAGTGTAAGTAATTTACTATAGTTATGGGGTAAGAGATTCATAAAACAATGCCTCATTATAAGTTAAATTCATTCCATACCTTCCGAACCCATACCCTGTAACTATCTTCTTTTCTTTGAAAACAGAATTTCATCTGCCATGCCCCTAATCAACTCCTACTTCCAAGCATTCCAGAGAATGTAAGTTTTATTGTTGTCACATCTTGTTTTACACTTTGACTACTAATAATAATAATAATGATTAATAATAATAATGAACACTTTTAATTTTGGTCATCTTGTTCATGTTATTTAATCTATTTGTTTCTATTTTTTACAGCACAATCTGAATGAGTATTACAGCGCTGTGGGCTGTATGAATATGATGGTTATATTTGCTTCCATGCTATATGAACGACGCATTGTATTCATCTCGACTCGTCTGCACAAACTAAGTGCCTGCGTCCAAGCTGCAAATGCTATAATTTATCCAATGAATTGGCAACACATTTTTATTCCTGTTCTCCCACACTCTCTAATTGATTACCTCTTGGCACCAATGCCGTTTCTCATTGGGGTGCCAACCAGTACATTTAAGGTAAATTATATTGGCTATTTAAGAAAGTTATTCCAGATTGAACTTTGTTTAACTGTTGTTTTCCATTATTAGAAAGTCCGTAGATCTGATATGGGTGAAGTTGTGGTATTGGACGCAGATGCTGATGTATTGGAAACACCATTCAATGATTTGGAAAGTATACCTGTGGATGTAGTAAACTCCTTGAAGAGGGAGTTGAGAAACCAGGTGTCAGTCGGAGATGGAGTTTCTCGTGCATTTTTAAGAGCCCTTGTCCAACTTATTGGAGGGTACAGGGATGCTCTGAAATTTCATCAAGGAGAACGCATTACATTCAACTCGGATGCCTTTGTTGAATCCAGGCCAACAAGCATGCAACCTTTCCTAAGAAAAATGTTGCAGCTTCAAATATTTCAGCAGGTAGAGTATTTTCTTACTAAGTTTTTGAAAAAAAGAAAAAAGAGAAGAAAACATGCCTTACCATACATATCAATTATTTTTATTGCTCTTTTTTTCATGCATTTGTCAATTTTTTTTAGTTTATTGAAGAGCGGCTGGACATGCTGAATGCAGGCCTTGGATTTTCAGATGAATTTGAAATAGAGGCTTGTAATTATTCAGACAAAACAAGTGGAAAACTGCGGCAACAGTATAAGGAATGGTTGAGTACAGTGAAAAAAGAAGGTTCAGCCTTTTTCAAGAGTGTGAAGAGCAAAGCAAATCCAGCCATGAAATCTGCAGTAAAATCTGTATGTTGCTTTTTATGTTGAGATGTTCACTAAATCATGTTTTTGATACTTTTCACCTTCTCCATAGACAGTTCTGATATATTTTTTACCCTTCACCTTTCAGGTAAAAGACAGAGGAAAAGACGTGAGGACAGCGTACAAAGGTATTCGGTCTAAATTCCGTGAACTACAGCCTCCTTCAAAAGAGTACTCTGGAAACACAGAAAAAGCAGTGAGCATTTCCAAAGATAGACCCAATTCTGCTCCAAATTCACCACCACAGAGAAGAAGACCTGCAACATTAGCTCCTTTCATCAAACTTAGCCCTACATCGGCTGTAACCTACAGAAAAGATCCAACGCTCAGTGGACGTAAATTATCGATGCAGGAGCAGAGGTAACATGTGACAGCTGATTCTTTGCATTTGGAGTCTTTGTAAAACTGGAAAACATGTCAATAATTTTAATAATTTTTTAAATGTAGAAGCCATTATTCTACACTAAGCCCTGGAGAAGCTTCATGTGGCTCAGCATCACCTCCTGAGTGTGGCACACCCGGTCTGAAGTTGTCGCCCATTGATACAGATCTCATGGGTGATCTTCATGATGTGATTTTTCAAAAATGTTCTTCTTTAATGGATGACCAACGTGAGGACCCAGTTCCCCCAGTTGATCGCACGGTAAGAATATTACAGTTCAAGAGATTACATTCAAGATTATTGATTATGTTGGCAAACATTTAATATTCATTCTCAAAGTTTTATAAACTTGCTTTTTATTGTGCTTTGATTTTCTTGTGGGGTACCCTGTCAATATATATCTAATGCGCTCACCTACAAACTAGCTTATTTTGTTGCTTGTCACAGTTAAAGCCGGTGCGAAGTTATGAGAGTTTTGGAAGCAGATCTTTTGCGACTGCGGGAGCTAGCACACCCAGCTTTTTACCACAGAGCTCTCCTGCTGGTGCTGCTTATGTTGTCCCTCCACATCTTGCCAGGTCTGGAGATCATGCATACTCTCCCTCTGTTACTTTCCAAGCTCCCTTCTCTCCATTTACTCCCCCAAAACTTGAGTTTCAACAACTTCCTCTTGCCTACAGCACCCCAAAGGTAGAGTCGAATGCCTTTACCCCGAGTCCAGATGATCCTTTCACCTCCTTTGCTGGTGGGAGAAGGCCTGGCCCTGGCCCTGGCCCTGGTCCTGGTCCTGGTCCTGTCGTTCCCCTGTCCTCCTCCTCATCCTTTGCTCCTGGCTCGGGCTCGGGCTCCGGCTCCGCATCGACCATGCCTACCATGCCCATCGCCGCGCCACCCGCGCGCCCTTCGCGAGCTTCAAAGGTATGCCACTATTCAATGCTCAATTTTGGGGTTGAATTTTGCTTTAGCTTGATTCTGGGTAGGGTAGCACTCTGCTGAGTCCTCCTGCAATCTCCAATATAAAAAGCATGTTCAGTAAAAGTTTATGTGTGTGGGATAACAAAAACATGTTCCAAATTATGTATTGAACGGTGTAAGAAGTAGGGCTGAACACTTTGTTTCTTGTAGGTTGCTCAAAGTCCTAATGACCTCATCAGATTGGACTCCACGCCAAGTTTTGAGGAGTTTGATCCGCTTGTGTCCACGAATCCTCCTGCTGCTTCTTCAAGTAATTTTGGTCCTACAAACATCAACAACAGCAACAACAATATTATGCACAAGCTGAAAGAGACATCTCTCTCTAACCCTCTGTATCCATACTATACCCCTCAAGGCTACAATTCTACCCAGGGAAATACAAGTTTTCTCTATCCAAATAATGTGATAATGCCAGTGGGCCGCAATGCAGCAGCTGTGCCTGCTATTCAGCCATCATCAAGCAGCAATATCAATCAACATAGTAGGAATGAGGCACAGGATTCTCAGCTCTTGAGGGAATATGGGATCGAATTCAAGAGCTGGGGACACAATGGGACTGGGGGCCAAACATTGCCTTCTAATGGTGCTTTGGTAAAGCCTGTTGTCACTGATCCATTTGAGGATGTGGAACGTTTGGCAAATGGAACACAGCAGCACCAACTGAATACAAATCAAAGAATGTGGACGAAGTTTGATTAATATTTGAATCTGATGCCTTGATCGAATTGGCTGGAACTATTGTTTTGTTGTTTCTTTGAAATCAAGAGAAATTCTTCAATTCATCATCAATTTTACCTGATTTTTGTTTGTGTCCATTGAACCTGTCTGGTCAATTCAAGTGGTTTTGCATCAAACCTTAAGTTCCTAAATAATTAAATGTTAACCACTGTAAGAAAAAAAGAAAGAAGCAAAGGGAAAAAAAAAAAAATAAACAAGACAAAAACTATTTCCAGTGGTCAAGACATGAAAATGCTTTTAAAGTAGGTTTTGACAAGCCTCATCAGTTTGTTGTTTTCATATTTATTGTTTTTAGAGAGAGACACTACCGGTACAATTGTCTGAGTGTATCCATCAGCATTTCAAAAACTTCTCCACAATTTAACTTTTGGTAAATGTGGTATCAGATAGTTTTAACGTAACTGTGTAATGGTTACTTAAAACTGTAGTTTTTCTTTTTTGTATCAATGTGCTAGTTGAAACATCACAATTATATTGAATTGTGCCATGAAAGCAGGGTGTCTGAGGATAGGGTAGGAAACAGAATTTATTCGAAAGGCTTACTTAGAGACCAACAAAGTATCAGTAGAAATGTAAGGTTTAGAACTATAGTGTCTAAATGAAATTATTTTCCATATCTGTGTTTTGTTATATTTATCTATAATTTATATTTATATATGCAGGGTGTCTTTAGTGTGAGAATTGTGTTACATCAGATGTTGAAATATCAGAGCGTCTTAGCTCTTAATAAGTTTAATCATTCCAATTAAATTTGTATTAAGGATGTTGAATGCAGTGGTTATCAACTCATTAATTTTGCTGAACAATTAAGACACTTGATATTAATCTGCCTTACAGGCACAAAGAACTAGATACAGAAATTTTAGAATCTAACCAATAGACTTGGGAAGGCAGAGATTTGTTTTTATCATTTGCGTAAGTACCAGTAGTTAATTAGATACATAAACTGACTCTGGAGCTCTTCTGTATTTAAGTATCTTATCATTGATCAGCTCCAAATACCCAGGAAATCATGTAGAAACAATTGGAGTCTCTCTGTATACTTTCGTTTCTTGCCTATGGTGTTGACGTCCAAGGATTTAATTTTAAAGTAGAGAAAAGTGGAGGCACACGCAATACTAATCTTTCTCATTGAAAAAATTAAATTATGTAAGTCTTAGGTCTCTATTTTGTTAAGTGGTCCATTTTCCACTTTGCTGCTGCCACATTTTGCTAGTTCATGTTTGAATTTTGTATAGGTTTTATTTTAAAAATCAGAATTATTTTTTAATGCTAGTCATTTAAGCAGATCTTTATTCCTGTTTTGTTTTCTTTGAAGAGGGGTAGGACATTGCTATTTAAAACGTCCATCTTTTTACAATATTCCTGTACCTTTCCAAAGTTGCAATTCCCCTTGCACAGAGTTATTGCTTACATGTTGATATCAATTTTTATTTTCCTGAATGTCTTTTCTATCTATCCATGATCATGCACAAAGTACTTCTAGTTGAGCTGCTGTCTCATTAGCATAAAAGAAGTTAATGTTTTTAAGGGCACTCTTCATAGTATTAGCAATTTGTCGCTCAAAACTCTAAAGGCAGATTTGTCAATCTCCATAGTCAGTTTTTTCCTTTTTCATGGAATGCCATTAATTGCTAATTTTAATTCAAATCATCTTTAATTGGACAAGTTAGATAGAATTTGTTCTTTCCTGGGCAACAAACATGATTGCGTAATGGGTATAGTCAAAACTGGTTAAGATATGTTTTATACCTTGTTTTGATGTCTTGTGTGATAAGTAGTACCTCCAGACAGTAGGTTTGGATAGTACTCTGAGAACTGAATATATACAGGGGTGTTATTGTAAGATTTTTGTTTCTGTTTTGGCCTGACATTGCCTATGATATTTTCTTTAGAAAAATGTTTGGATTAATGATGGTTTCCTCAATCTGTCACTAAGTTCACGGTTAGACTAATTTTTTGTCTGAGATTTCTCTTCTGGCATAAGTGTACATGCGTATTATACACTTTAGTATAATAATAATTGTGGCATCGTTAAGAGTACAGTGTTATGTACTATGTAATCCCCATGAGAGTGAATATTTTAAGACCTTTGATGAAGCTGTGATAAGCAAGACTATGTACTCAGTGTGTGCCTCTTGAGGCAAGTGTATATAAGCTGTTCCTTAAATGAAATTTTTGTTCAAAAATTTTCATTTTCATTTATTTAGCCCTGAAAAGATAATTCCATGCACTTACATCTTCAAATGTTAAAATATTTTTCTAGACAAAAATTGTAGAAACTTGACTAGAAAGTTAGCTAAGGTGAAAACAGTGCACTTCACAGCTGTCATATGCAGCAACACAGAAAGCAGAACCATTGGAAGTGAGAAATCTTGATCCAACTAGCAATGAATCTCGAATAGAGGTATAAAAGAGATGTTCCATCTGAAATATTTAAATGAAAGGAAAGTGTTTTACTTCAGGAAGTAGATATGAATAGACATATTTTGTTTGATATGTTAATACCATGGGTTGCTCTTCTCTGATTTGCCATACTCGGACAAGGGCATCCTCTCCTATAGAAAGTAGTCGACCTGAATCTGGGGCAAGATCAAGAGCAGTAATCCAACGAGCATGCGCAGCAACTTCCACTAGCATGGCTGCAGTCGGATGCACACTAAAAATACGAATATGGCCAGAGCCATATGCTACAATTATATGCCTATGCCAAATGTGTATACTTGTACATGCAAACCTGAAACAGAATAAACACAGGGAAATATGACACATCTTCACCAACACCACTTTTTTTTTTGAATGGTCTCTTATTCACTTGCTATTACCAAAACTTGGTATGTAATGTTACATACCCATATGAAGGAAATGTTGCATCTTTGTGCAAATGGTCTCTGTTGACAGCCCATACAATGACATTGCCATCTTGATCTCCAGATGCAATAACATCTCCGTTTTTGTCACTAGGGCCAGTTAAAGCAGAAATTCCATACTTATGACCCTTTTGGTGCTGTACCAGGACTGCCTCACAGCTTTGATCAAATAAGTGAAAAACATAGAGGAAACCTGCATTGTTTCCTGTGAAAGAAAGTGCCAATATTCAAATAACTTCTTGATTTAAAAATCATATAACAGACTGAACATGATACAGACCAACACACAAGAGATCAGATCCTATAGTAGCTAGTTGGGGACTAGCTGAGTCTGATACATCTGGTCCCTCACGGCAAGGGTGTGAAAAGAAACACTTTTCTGCCTTACTGTCAAAAATTTGGATTCCCAATGTGGAGGCAATCACAAACCAAGTTTCATTTCCGAGTTTGCACCACATCACCTAGAACATGAAACTGTGATAATAAAATTTCAATTCAATGGTCAAGACATTAACACTTTATACAAACCTGTGAAACTTGAGCCAAAACTGATTCCCCTGCTGAACTACGGACAGCCACATATTTTGTCTTTTGCTCTTCACTATCTATTGGGATAACACTCACATAACCAGGGTGAATGACAGCAATCTGTTCTGCAAATTTCTTAGACCCAATCTGATCTACTGCCAGATTATTTGGGATAGCTGAAGCAGTGCTCATCAACACAAGTGGCTTCTCTTGACGGTACATTATTTAATGATTTCAATCAAAAGCTACTAATTACGTGTTACAAAGGAATGGAAAAAAAAAAAATTCTGAACAACTTTCTGCGATTTACAATGAGTATTTGGTCCGCGACTTAAATGTATAAAAATCGGGATTTCCCTTATCCCCTACCGAAAGTAAAGATGGAATTCTTAACAAAAAATAATAAATTGTTGCCAACTAGCGATGTGAAATCTAATTTTTTAATTGAATTTCGAGAGCCGTAGATGTATAGAAAGACATAATCAAATTATCAGAGATCACACCGTATATTTGCATGAACATAACGGTCTGGAACCGGCAGTCGTGCCCATTAAATCTGCAATTCTTCTTCGTTTACTTTTGTTGGTCATGTTTGACCTAGTCGTGACGCGCTCCGAAATCGAGCGCGGCGTGCGCGGCGCGAGGTCACGCGAGGAACGCAAAAAGCTACGCGGGAACTGCGATATTCGTATACGTTTTTCTAGAGGATTCTGATCAACCTGCTTTATTGTGTAGGGAAGTTTTTATTTTACTTTTCAAAAGAATTTGGAGGTATAGTTGCTAACACAGTGGTAAAAACAGTTTATAACGTTCACTTTTGCGTGACTGTATTAAAAGGTTTTCTGATGCCAACCTGACACTGTTCCTCCTCCAAAATGATTCATCTGTACCATTATTTGTGTGTCACTGGCACAAAATTTCAAATTTCCTCGGTATTCTACAGAATTTTACCCATCTTCTGAATAAATTTCTTGTCTGTATTAATGCTCTGTAAATTTTACTACTCCTTCGTTTTGTTGTTGTTGGTCGAACCCGCAACATGCAGTTGGCGACCATGATGCGCAGTATACCTCCAAAGTGTGAAGGAGGCTTGCATCATGTTGGAAAATCGAAATAATATGTGAAAATTTCCTGTGATTTTGAAGAAAGCCCACTCGATTGGATTATTTGGCCGTCTAGTGCTGTCATGTGTTATCGAATACAACATGTGAAAACGTTAAATTGACTCCGCAAGCCGGCGTCAAACAGTTTTGGAGGGTGGGTCTTGTGCCAGAACGTGCTCGGCTAGTGCTCAACAAAGGTATGCCGAGAGGCCGTGTTTTCGCCGTTTTATTGAAGACAACTGTCAAGTTCGTTGTCCTACCGCTTGGTGCCTCTCTTATGCCTGCCCCGTACTGTCCTCTTTGCGCTCACATTTCGAGCAGCGCACTCCAGATGTACTTTTTCACGATCTCCCCTTCAATATTTGTGTGGCTCTCAGAGCCTATAATCCATTCACGGCGACCACGCTTCCGCCAGTTACACGATTAGTACACACCCAAAACGGCATTCTCGCCGATGTTTGTACCCACTTTTTCAATGTTCGGTAACGGACTCCAAACCCCGTCCTCGTTCATTTTTCCCGTACGCCACTCTCATATCGGACCCTGTCGGTTCGGTCGTGTTGAGGTTATGTTTTGCTCGGTAGTCTTCCGGACCGGGGCGGCTTTTCAGTTCAGTCCTATTTTCTTTCTGCCATCTGTTGCAGGAGGTTTCCTCAAGTTTATATGTTGAGGGAACTCAATTTGGAGTGTTCACATGTACTGTTTTAGAATCACTTTGATAGATTTTCTTCTCTATACATTCAGTGTGGACTGAGTTCACTATTTTATCAATTTGAAATGGAGCCCTATGCTCAACAAAATTTTCGTCATACAATTCCAAATCCCTATATCCGGTTTTATATCAGACTTCTTCATTTGAAAAAACAAGTTATTTTGTATGGTTTCTCTCTCTAGTTTGTTGTTATAAATTTCTTCTTTCCCTATTATTGACAGGATCTGCTACAAGTATGGAATCTCCTGTTATTAAAAGCCAAGCTAAAATGGCTAGTCTTGGTCCTTTGACACCTGGAAGGAAGAAGAGTGTGAATGGTTCATCAACTCCTGGAAATGGGAAAAAAATAAGACTTTCCCCAGCTGGTCAGAGCTATGTTGTTGGATCAAAGGTGGAAGCAAAAGATTTCAGTGGTCAATGGTGAGAGGTTTATTAAGTTTTTAATTTGTGTTCACTTACATTGTATCAAACCTCAGCTGTAATGTTTTGTAAATTGTTCACTCTGAAAATGATGATTAGTTCCTCCAAATTGTGTATAATTTATCTCATATTTCCCTTATTATTTTATTGATATCTTCTACAACACAATATATGTTTCAACACACAGGAATTCAGCTAAGGTGTCTGAGGTTGACTGGGATGAAAGAGAAATTCTTATTCATTTTGAAAAATATGATGAGTGGATGCCAATGGACAGTCAGAGAGTTCGTCCTTACAAAGAACCAGAGTAAGTTATTGATCTCATGCCATCATTAACCATAGAATTGCTTGCTATTCTCCTTGCATGTGATTTTCCTCTACATTCCTAGTTATTTCTTTATCCCTTGTACAATCGTTTTTTTTTTAATTTTAGTTTTTACAAAAAATTTCTTGTGAACAAATGTGCCCTAGCAAATATAAATCTTACTCATAGATGATGTAAATAGTGCAGTTTGTGTTTGGTTACCGCTTCTTTCTACATGCATTATTTAAATTTTGCTGCTAAAAGTGCAGTAACTCAAATTGTGTGACATGCTCATACTTGTTGGCATTAGCTTGGTTTCTGGGTGTGTTGTTGTGACCTGGATGAAACAATAGTTAAATATTTAGTTGTTGCTTCCTGGAGGGTGCCAGCATGATTCTGGATGTGTTACTAACTTGGTTGTGCTTGTCCCTCATCCTACATTCAAACTTTCAATGTGCATATTTAGTAGCAATTTCATTCTCCCTCATCTCATATATAGTTTTTCTTGTTGAATGTTTCATTTTCGTTTTCATTTCATGTTTCCAGTGCTTCAAGCCTATACCCTGCAAACCTGAATCTCGGCAGAATTTCTGGCATGAAGGGGCGCTATTTTCCTGAGTGAGTGTTGGTGTGATTACTGAGTGACGCTCATCTGCACCTTGAATCCTTCTTTTGGAGTAAAACTTGGAAGGGAAAAAAATTGATTTTGTTGTGATACTGATTTTTCACTTGTCTTGTCAATTTTCTATGCTGCTGATAAATTTTATTCCTTTAAAAAAAAAAAAAATGGAAAGTTTGTAAAAAAAAAAAACATTTATTTTCCCTATATGTTAAGTATCAATAACATAAGTAATTAAACTGCTCTTTTCTTGTGTCAAAATTAATTTTTGAAATTTTTAGAAGATTACTTTTGGTCTCTGATCCCCCTGTTCACCCTTTATCTTGGAGCGCTCTCTTTCAAACGTCCAACTCTCCCTCCATCTCTTTCTCTTAATCCAGTAGACATGTTCTAAGTATAGGTGTTGTTGTTAAGTAGTTAATTGTATTCTACTATGGCTTACGTTTTCTTTTCTGATGTAGTTAATTTTGGACTGATTTGTAAGATTTTATTTCACAGTGTCAGAGTGATGAAGAGTGGGGGAAATAGAAACCTTTAAGAATCGTAGCTCATAACCCATATAATTTTGCTGTATTATTAGTTGTGCCTTAAACTGACATCAAAGCAATTTCGGTTCTAATATCATATTATCATTTCTGTGGGTTTTTTTTAGAACAAATTTCTATGAAACTAGAATGGGCCTAGAGTAGGTTCACGGGGGAAGAGGGGGGGAGGGGGAGGGGGAAGAGCTGTAAAAGGTGTTAGGACCCAGGGTCTTGAGGGTCAGCTGGTGTGTATCAACTTACAACTTGTGTCAGCGTGCTCAGGACGTCCCATCCGACATGCATCGTCCGAACAATTTGCTAGGCGATCTTTCGTGCGTGTTACATTTTCTATTCTGTATCTATGGCCAGTCTTGTCGCGATCTTTTCCATGACAACGGTACCCCTCCAGCCTTGTTGTCACATCTCTGTACTAGTTGTCTGATCGTAGACCATCTTCTTTATATTCGTTTTTACGATTAAAATTTTATTTTGCGTGTCATGCGTATGCATTTTTGAGCATTATCAATATCGAGTATCGTTCTGATGACTGGATCCGTCGTTAATACCTGCGATCTTTAAGGCTACCTTTGAAAAGTGAGGTTATGGGTCCATTTTGTTGTTGTTTTTGTTTGGTGCTACTACTCAGAAGTTGTAGTGGTAGCAGCAGCAGCTGCATCGCGTAAAGCAATGTCTGACAGACGAGCTAAATCTAAGCAATCCTTAATTTCTAGCTCCGAACTAATTAGTTTCGATATTAATTCTCATAGGTAAATGTTTGAATCGTGATTAGGCATAGGCGCGTCTACTTCCGTGCTTCGGAAACACGGGATTTACGTTTGGGTGGTACACCATAACCTCACCGCCTCCTTGTTTATTGCTATGTGGCTTTAAATTTCCACCTTTATGCATTCTGTTTCTTCCTGAGTTAAAAATACTCTTCGGGTATTTTATTTACATTTAGAGAGGTTGTTAGGAACTGGGATCTTAGTTCTAGATTTTATGTTTCTAATCTGTATTTTTGCCTTTGTGAAAGTGCAATTTCAGTGTCAAGTCAACTTCTTATGACCTCTGTTTGTTTTCCTATCACAAGATCACTAAACTTTTCAAAATTCGATTCAGTTACTCCCAATAAGAAAAGCCTTCTAAATTAGAATGTGGTTTCCTGCCTGTGCCCATATCCTTTGTTTCTAGGCTGCATAGTTTATGTAAATGTGACTTTTTCTGTTACAGACCCAAACCTCTCGAGAGACGGTTTAAAGTTGGGGATAGAGTTATGGCAACTTGGACTAACAATCGCAAATATCCTGCAACAATAGCTAATCAACTGCCAAATGGTAAATTATTTTGAGCTCACAGTATGACTTCCTGCCTCTCATTAAAAACTTACATTTCCCTGGGACGTCTATCGCTATGTGATACCTGACCAATTTTTGTTCCATGACAGATCGCTATGATGTCGTGTTTTATGATGGGTTTGCAAAGTCTGTTCGAGGCAGCAAAATATCTAAAATGAAGGATTCAGAATTGATGGTATGTGGTTTCTTGTTTATTCTTCTTGTTCCATTTCCTATTTGCAGCTTAACACCTCTTGAATCATTTGCATTGTTAGGTCCCACCATCTAATGGCAGTCACCTTCCTATGCAATCACAATTTCAACTCCATCAGCAGCAAGCTATTGTTCCGAACCAGCTGAAAAGTCAGCAGCTCAATGGGAATTTGAGTGCTGGAAATTCTTTTAACCGACAGCCCAAAGTAAATGGTCAGCTTGGACAGACTCAACTTGAAAAGCAATTGCTTCAACCTCCTACCCTCCCAAGTGCTTCCCAGTACACAATGTTTAGTCCACCGGTGAATGGTCTTCTTTCTTTTGATGAAAATATTGGAACAAAGGAACAAAGAAGAGAAAGGAAGCGCAAGCACAATGTGAAGGAACTATTCTCTACCAAGCGACCTCGCGGCTCAGAGAAGATCTCCTCTTCTAAAGCACGATTAGACAAGAAGTCACAGGCTGGCATTCATTCTGATACTGGAGTAGTCTCCTCTTTGGCCTCATCTTCTTCCAATGTTCAGTCACCTGTTAATGGATTACTCCTGGGTGTTGACCCTATGTTCCCGGCAAATCCATTGAAAGTTGAAGGTCTGCCTTCATCTGGCCATGGTGTTAAGGACAAACCTTCATTAGATCTCTCTGAAACTGATGTTAAGAAAAGAAGGAAGAGGTTGAAGAAAAAGCAGGATGGTAAAAAAATTTTCTCATTCACATTTTCTTTACATAGCTCCATTTTATTCTAACTTCTGACATACCTTACTTCAGGGTTTGGCTCTGACACTCAAGAAACAACTTCTCAAAAACGATCGAAGGCTGGATCCTCAGATGAAGATGAGTGCAGCATTCAGTGGACCAATGGGGAACCCCAAGGGGAAGCTGCATATGTAATTGAAAGTGCTGAGGGTATGTTTCAGTCTCCCAATTGACCATTAAATTAAATAAGAAACTTTTAGGTGGCTCCTGAAAGTGTGTTGTGGTTTAGCATTTCTGCTGATGATGCAGTCTTTGTTTATTTCTTTATCACCTCAGGCCTGCGAAAATCAATTATTGTTGATGACCGAAGGTTACCTGTTGGTTGGAGCAAGCATGCTATTCGTCGCCAAGGTGGAACATCAGCAGGGAAATGGGATGTCTTTCTAGTGAGGTTTGTACTCTTCTTCTGCATGTTACAATCATGAGTGGACTTCATATTTGCTCGCAATGAATCTTCTACTGAGTCTTTCCTTGCATTTCGCCAGTCCTGAGCCTAGTATCAAAGTTTCATTTCTGCTGTCAAAGAAATTTATCAAACACCTTAAATGCAGTGCATATCTCCAAGTATGATTTGGTGGTTAGGTTAGGTACAACATCCAACACTTGCTCTCGCTCTGGAGTCTAACTGTCAATGTCAATATTACAGCCCAAGAGACGGGCGCAAGTTCCGTTCTCGCAACGAACTTCGATCTTACCATGATGAACGTGGTCTCCAGTTTCAAGTGGAGCGTTTTGATTTTTCCCTCGGTCGCAAAAAGATGTATCGCCAGAAAGCTGCAGCAGCAGCGGCAGCCAGGGCAGCACAAGAAGATAGGTGAGGGATGCATCATGCTCTATATCACCTGATTACTGTATGCTGCTCCTTGCTTCTTCTTGCGCTTAATTCCTACACAGTATTGTGGAATATACAGTCACCACTTGCCCCAATCCGTTATCGAACACTCTTCCTTGTTTTAAAGCCTGCAATGTAGCTTACCACTGTGAAATACTGTGGTGTTACCCAAGAAATTGTTCTCTTCAGTAGAGTTGCCAGTCAAATGATGAATTTCCCAGCTTTTCAGGTTTTAATCAGCTGCTGGTATATTGAGGAGCATATGAAGTCTTGTGTTATGTGCCAATTGAGTGGTACTTCAGTGTTTTAAAGAAACAAGCATTCTTTTGCTTTCAGGCCAGATGCTTCTTCCCCGGTTCCCTCAAGCCATGCTTCTGAAGCATCTGGGGTTCCTTCATCGCCTTCCTCATTCTCTGAACATTCAACACCACAGCAAATTGGATTACATCCACCTGCACCTCACTCAATTACACCACAAGTTGTGTCTCAAGGCATTCAGCGTGTGAAGACCTTGCTTCCTCGTCGAACTTCTACCTCTAGTGGGTCGCCCAGCCGAAGAATTTCGTCTCCCCCTCCTCCTCATGCTATCACTCCTCAGCCCATTCTACCTGTCTCATCCACTTTAGAATCTCTAAATAAGAAGAGCTTGTCTGCTGGTAGTGACGGGTTCTCATGCCCCAAGGATCAGTGTGGCAAGAAGTTCCGGAAAGAGAATTTATTGCAAGTATGTACTCTTCAATGTTAAATTATTCACATATTTACTTGGATGGACTTTTGTGGCAATTGACTCAGTGTGAAGTATCACACTTCAGTAGTGTGTAAACCAAGTGCTCAAATTTGTTTCTTGTTTTTTTTCAGATGCACATTAAGCATTACCATCCAGAGTACACTGCCTTCATGGGCTCCACACCAAATGTGGCAGATCTTGCTTATGCACGTTGCACTGGGGAGGGTGAGACACCCAACAGAAACAGACCGGGACAGGGATCCTCTTTCATGGAGAAGATAGAAAAGATTTCTCGCATGGAAGCACATCGTAAAGCAGGTGCTGAAAATCCTACGTCTGGAGCTGAAACTTTGAGCAGTCTGGAAGCAAGATCACCCACTCTTGGGCAGTTATTGAAGAAAGGGTCAGTGTTTGATTACTGTTTGAAGGTATTTGCGGTGGAATATTTACTTGTTATGCCTTTTAAACAAAACTGTGACAATTTCTCTCAGGCCTATGCGTAAGGATTCTTTGGATGGCACCACTGCTGCAGCTCAGGCAGCAGCCGCGTGGATGGTAGAGACCGCAAGTGATGCTGCCGCCATGTCTCCTTTGGCTGATGCTTTGAGGGATAAATCAAGCCCTAATTTGCAAATTCCTCTCGAGAGTGGGTATCGAGACAAAATGGAATGTGTCAGTCGACCATTGTCGCGGGCAGCTGGTCTGAACTCCGAGTAAGTAGAAATTACGCCGATATTCGTACTTTCCTACCTTAAGCCAATTTTTAACTTCTTTATTTTCTTCTGCAGCTGTGATCAAGATGGGTTTGTAGAGCAAAATGGAAATCTTAGCCCATGGAAAGGCATGGGCACTGAAGGTATCATGTCTGCCAGTGCTTCATCAAGCCCGGTAACTGTGCAGCCTCCACCCTCCTACTTTTACAGTAAAAAGAAGAAGAGTCGGGTCTCAGCTGACAAGCTTAATTCTACAGTTCCTAGTAAGTTATCCAAGTACTACATCCTCTACTGTTGGTAAGCAAGTTAGTGCTTTTCTTAATTTAATGCCTGTTGTTGATCTTCCTTCAGAACTGGAAGGAGGAAAGCCTCCATCACCACCCATGGAGCATTTAAGAAGAGAAGAGTTGATCAACTGTACTTGTGGTTTCATGGAGGAGGACGGTCTCATGATTCAGGTGTGTATTTTTAAAAGGGTGTTCAGTGTTTTCAATATTTTAGGTGTCTCTCATTGTTATTGTAGAAGAGAAAATAAGATGCAGTTTTTTAATCGGTTTCTTTGCAGTGTGACTTGTGCTTGTGTTGGCAACATGGCCTATGCAACCAAATTGAAAACATTGAAGATGTGCCTCAGAAATATGTATGCCAGATATGTCAGAATCCTGTCAGAGAGCGAAAGAGTCGCCATTTTATTCATGACCAAGACTGGCTGAAAGAGGGAGTTTTGCCAAGGTGGGAGGTCATACAAAACATTTTAAATATTTTTTATTTTGCAGAGTTTTTCATAGTCTTTTAATTTTCCAGCTTGCCTTTTACTGTGAAGGAGTCAGAAAAAGTTCAGCAACGTGAAGACATTTTAAAGAGGTCCCATGATCTTTGTTCACTTTTGCTGTTGACCCAGAAAGTAATTCACAGCTTGCGTGTGAAGGTTCACATTGCCGAGTAAGTAACATTTCCATATTAAGTACTTTCTACAGAATATATTGTGAGCTTTCCCTGGATTTTTATCTTTAATATTATCTTATCTTGCAGGCAGAAAGATCACCCTAAATTGTACCTTTGGGCTAATAGTTGGCAGACAGAATCGATGGGATGTCCTACACCCCCATCCTCTCCTACTCAGGCCATTGATCAGAAACCAGAAAGCTTTGGTAAGTTTCTCAACTTCACTTCTAAATATATCATTGCTTGACAGTAATTTTTCCTATCTATAATTCTTGAGGCAATGGTTACAGGGTGTAGGGGCTTTGCTTGCATGATATTTGCTTGCACAAGTAGATGTTGATTTGTAGTGTAGTTCATGTAACTTTCTGTTGTTTACCAGTAGAGCTTTTTTGTCCCTTGCATTGTATTGGTTTTAAACATATATTTTTAACAAAATGTCACATAATGAAGAGTGTGTGAGAGAGCACTCAACTTAAAGTGAAAACTACAAATAATTTTATAAGGAACAAGGGTTAGATGAAATTTTGTGGTTATAATTGGCTCATGATGACTCAGTTTTCATGAGGTACAGTTGTTAAAATAAAAGAATGTGGCAGGTGCCATGGGGACGGGCAAAAGCCTCCTGCAGGAGGCTCTCTTAAATGGGAGTCCCCTTCAGCAGCACCAGCAACAGCAGCAACACTACCATCATCCTCAGCAATGTGTGGGTGAGTTCAAGGATTAGAACACCAACCAAAGCTTATACTGCTAGAAGATGTGTTTTGCGTTTTATTGCAAATACCTTGCTAATTAAGTCTGTATTTCCCTCAAACTGTGTCAACATAGTGCCTTACGTTTAGTGACACTAGTCCCAAAAAATGTTTACCCAATGTTTGTGAATTGTAATTCTGGAGCTTGTTGTAGTATTTAATTTATCAATAAAAGTGTGGTGTTCATTAAAATGTAGGGGGGAGGGGGATCCGTTTAGTGTATTAATTTATGTTTGTGCTTTTAGTCTAACAATCTGTAGTTAGTTTGTTTGCATGGTGCATGGTAATGTATCCTACCCTTTTAGAGGGGGAGGGCAGGGGTCATATTAAGAGTATTTTGGTGTAGTAAGTTGAGGCTTCTGCTTGTAGTCTAGTAGAGACACTCTTGTCAGTAGCAGTTTCACTTTCTAATTAATTGCATCTGATACTTGTAGATTTAATAAGTCTAATGTTTTATATCTTAACATTCATGTAATTATGTATTCATTTACCTTCTATTTAGACAAATAGTTAAAAACATTTGAAAGTTATAAAAAATTATTAGGATTAATAGTACGTATATAGACAAGTTATTTATATTGTCTTCTTGAACTTTCCTCACAGATGCTCCTAGGATTCCTCAACCTGAAGCTCCCATTGACCCTGGAGAATGCAGAATAAAACTTCTGGATCACATTGAACACTATCAGTCTCTGATTGATGCTCGGCTCACCACACTAGAACATATGATTGATGGTAAGTTTGCAAAGTATCTCTGTGTGCTAAGTTTTACGAGAATTATATTTACAAGAGGTTTAATTGGATAATTTATTTTTGTCAGAATTGGAGAAAGAGGATCCGTCACTGCTTGATGGGAAGAATGCAGAAGCTGAAACAGCTGTGCGTGCGACTAATGGTAGGAATATCTGTTGTTTTAGCAACATTCAGTCCATGGCTTTTCTTTTAGGTGCATTGAAATCTTAAACCCATTTTTTAAATGTTTAAGGTATTGAAGCAGATGAACTGCCTCAGAGTGAAGAAGACCCTTTCTTTCCTCAAACCAAGGAAACTGTACAAATGATTCTTCGAGACTTGCAGAAATTAACAAAAATATCCACTTTGTGTTAATTGTACATAGTTTGAAGGTTTTCACTGATGCCCAGTTGTGTAAATACTAATGTTATGTTTTTATTTTTAATTTGATAAAATAGTTGTTGTGTACTTTTAGCCTATCTATCTGTAAGTCTGGATCTTTTCAGTACAATACCAAAGTTGTTAAATGTATATTGTTTACCCTGTATATGTATGTATATATATGAAAAAAAAAGAAACATTATCAATAGAAATTCTATCCAATTCTCTATGCTTTAAATTTCTTTATTACATTTCTGTTACATATAATGTTTTTAGAATAAAACTACTGAAAATTACTTCGTTTTCTCTTTTAAACCTAACCTAAACGGCATTCACGAGAGGGGAAACGACGAACGTTCAACGCTGGGCTAGACTGAAAGGTTTTACAAACCTTATAAGCCACCATAGGTATGAAGAGGTCTTTATCGTTCTTCCGTCCTAGGGGCGATAGTGTCTATCAGTCTCCAAATTTTCGGACCCGAGCCGAAGAGAGCGTATCCGACTAGATGAGAGCGGAGGAGGGCCTCGTAGTACAGACTAAACGTCGCGCTTGGCAGCGCGACGCGGGCTGGGGAGTCCCAGTGGGGACCGAGACGACCTTTAGCGGTCCGGCCAGGGGCTGCGAGACGGGCCCGTAGGACGGCAGTGCCCGCCGATTGCCTATCCAGTCGTCCACAGGGGCTCTGGCTTGAATAGGAGGCAGGCAGACGATCAATAGTGGTCCAGCCTCTCAAGTTGAAGTGAAGTGGCTAGGCGTAGCGAGCGACTCTCCGGAGTTGCAATGGGTGGAATAGCGAGGACGAGGGAGGATTTGCCAGGGTCACTTGAAGAGGCCCGTTGTAGAAACACGGCTTTATTTTTATTTGCACTTTTTATGCCACAACTGGGGCGAGAGGACACTCGTCCTTCCAGTCACGAAAATTCCCTCTTTTATATTAAGTAACAAATCAGTTCAGTCTTCTGGTTAAGTTGATCAGTCGATCATAACACATTATTGGCGAGGGAAAGTACAGCCTTTATGGCTTTCGCGCTTCGCCCACCGAACTGGGAGGGAAGCGGAAGCGTCACACACTGCGCTGCGGCTCGTACTGATTGCACACGATGTCCACCCATACACTCACACAGACGCACGCACACATACAACTTACACTTTCACACAAAACGATACGTCTTTACACAAAGAGCTAACTGTCGAAGCTCTTGACGATGTCCCTGATGCTGGTAGAGGTGCCGATGACGAGCGCGGCGAAGCCCAGCACCGCGATGAAGCCGTCCTTGACCACGAGCCAGGCGAAGGCGCGCTTGGTGCCGCACGAGTCCCAGAACGTGGCCAGGTGGATCATGGCGGGGAAGGTGAGGCCGATCAGGGACAGGCACAGCGCGCCCACCAGGGAGATCACCAGGCCCAGGTTGTTGAAGGCGGCGCCTGCCGCGACTGCGCAACAAGGAAGGGAAGGACGTTGAAGAGTCTGTCCTGTCGTCAGCTCAGAGAAGTGTACCGGGCACAGAGCGCCCCGGGCACGAAATGGGTCTGGCCCTTAGTGGTAATGGTAATGGAGGGCAGGCTCGTGGCGGGCACGCGTGTGTGGCGGCACAGCCTACCCTGCAGGCGGCGAGCGCCCGGAGGGTAGGCCGACCCTGGCCCGCGGCGTGCACGCGTGTGTGGCGGCACTGCCTACCCATTGCCATTACCATTAAGGGCTAGACCACAACCATTACCACTACGGGCTAGACCCGCAGGCAGCATACTCACATTGGACCACGACGATGGACGTGCGCACGATGTACTCGTACAGGAGCTGCCGACGGCTCGACATCTTGCGCGCCTCGCACTTGGGCAGCAGCCAGTTGTTCCAGATGGTATCGAAGTTGACGTAGTTCATGAGGCCGTGCGACACGAACAGGGCCAGCGCCATCATGAGCCGCACGCACTGGGCCGGGCTGCGGGGGTCGTCTGGTTGTTTAGCAAAGCTTACTTGGCGAGAAAGCGACAGGGAGGGCTCCAGTTTAGACTCACATCTCCTCGGGCGGCAGGTTGAGCGTGACGCTGGACTGCACGGCTTCGCCGTACTGCAGGTAGCCGAACAGGCCGACGCAGATGAAGAGCACCACGATGGGCACCATGGCGCGGTTCAGCACGCCCATCTTGCCGCCGAACGCCTTGGGGTTCTTCATCTCGTTCTTCAGGGGGATCATCTGCAAAGGTATTCCGTCAGCCCCGGGGATCAAAGGGAAGCGAATGTCGCTCTGTGGGCGTCGTCGGCGTTGTACTCACCACCCCCATGGCCTCGAGCGAGAACATGGCCGTGCCGAAGAAGAGCGGGAAGTCGGCGATGCTGCCGAAGGCGTGCTTGTCCTGCACGGCGGGGATGGCCCTGAACACGTAGTACAGGATGACGGCGAAGCTGCCCAGCGTTATGGACATGGCGATGGTGGAGAAGGGCGCCAGGAACTTGAGGTCGCGCACCCAGCTCAGCAGGATGAGGGGGATGGTGACGTACACCATGTACAGGCGGTGGTCCATCGGGGTGCCGTCGACGTTGTAGTAGTCCACGATCTGAAAAGCGGACCCGGAAAAACAGCGGATTCAATTAAAGCTTTAAAGCGATGGCGCTAGTTCTGTGGTTGTGTGCATGTCTGCCAGGCTCAGCCAGCCTTATCGCCGGACGGTGGCTATGGCTTGCCACGGTATAGGTGGCATAGGCGAGCAGGAAGATGTTGGCAGCCACGGACAAGCCCGGACTGGATCCAGCAAAATACCCGAGCTATTTTTACTCTTCACTCGCACACGCGGCGCGCGGTCACCTTCGGCCACCTTCGTGGACCTGCGTCAGCATCCACCCATCCACCCCGACTCACGTCTTTGATGTTGTTGGCTATGAAGATGATGTAGGCGATGCACGCCCCCATCTGGTTGAGCAGCACGAACGTGTTGATGCTGCCGCGGAACGACTTGGCGAAGCGGCGCGTGCGCACCGGGCCGTCCTCCAGGGCGGCCTGCCCCACCTCGGGGTAGGTGAGCGTCGGCACCCTGCGCCTCTTGGACAGCTCGTACTCCGAGTCCACCAGCATGTGCACGGCCAGGGTGGCGACGAAGCCGATGACCGCCGTGCCCACGGTCCCCACCACGTAGCCGGCGTACTTGAAGGCCTCGGGCATGGCCAGGATGCCGGTGCCGAAGCAGCCCTTCAGCAAGTGGAACAGGGTGTCCATATTTCTGATGAGCAGAAAACAGAAACGCAAAAATGGTTACTTTTTGAAGGAACGACGCCTTTGGTTGCGGACGAGGCGAGGGTAACTCACGTGGTCGGGTGAGCGACTTGTTGGTGGTCATGAGGATCATAATCATCTGCCTCGATGTCCTTCCGCCGTTTCAGGGCGTCGGCTTGTGCATCGCGTCCACTGCGAGATCAATGAAACAGCTTAGAAACGCCACCCTCACACCTTGGAGCCCTCCAGTGCACAGCCTACTTACCCGCCGTTCGCAGACACTGCCGCAGTCTGGGGCTGCACCCGATCGGACGCCTGCAGGCCCATGGGGATGTCCGCCGCGGACGACTGCGCAGAAGAGGACCAGTCATTCGTCAGCCGTCTCTTTATTCTCTATCTCGCTTATGTCTTTGGCGCTGCGCCTATTCATCACCGACCTGACGGACCTGACGGACCTGACGGACGTGGCGGACCTGACAGCCGCCCGGCGGTGACGTCAGCCCGCCAGCCCGCCAGCCACAGCCGCGGGGACCTAATAGACTCAGGTTGTCGGGCTGCGCCGGGCCGCCTCACTCTTAGACTTGCAACCTTCGCCGCCACCACACTGCTTTCCTCCAGGCATCGCCGCCACGCGAGCGGCGCGTGCCTCGCACGTGGCTGCTGCACTGTGCGTGTGTGTGTGTGTGTGGGGGGGGGACTCCATGCCCACTACACCGGAGGCGCAGCGAGTCCCCCGAAGTACGAAGTCTGAAGGCAAGGACTCCGACGGGTGGCGGGCTCTTTCCTCTCCGTAGCTTTCCGAGGCAGTGGAGTGGCACTGGCCACTGCCACCGGGGCCGGGCCGGGTCGGCCGGGTCGGCCAGGTTGCCTGCCGGCCGGCTCCGTTTGCCAGTCTTGCCAGTCTTGCGTGGCTGCGTCCCGCGGGGCCCGGCCAGGCCCGGCGGGCTGACGCTGTCGGCGTGGAAAATCCCCGGCCGCGCCTTTGTCGGCGTTGTCCATGCCACCACTCCTTGCCACGCCGTGCCACGCCGTGCCACTCCGCCAGGACGTCCTCGCGTCCTCGCACTATTTGGGTCAGGCTGGCCGGCCGCACGGTCTACGCGAGGCAGCGCCGGCCAGCGCGGCCGCATGCCAGGCTCGGGCCGCGGTTCGAATCCAGCTCGAGCCGCTTTTTCATTGTGAGCATGATTTGGTCGTTGACGTGCGTGGCGTGGCGTGCCTGAACCCGCCGGGCCGGTCGTCCGTAGTCTAATGACCCTCCCGCTCGTGTTTACCAACAAAGCCACCCGGATTCGCGGGCTCTAGGAATGGCACTGGGTTGAGACATGCGCTGGCGAATTTGGCTAAGGAGGACACACTGCACGCGGCGGCAATGGATGCAATCCAAGTGCGCCCGCTCCTACCAAAAGCCCTGGCGCACGCACCGCGCCAGGAGCGTTGACTCGCCTCGAAGGCCGGCAAGCACTCCTTCCCCGACACACGCGTCGTCTGCCCATAAACAGGCTTCCTACCTGCACGCCGGATGTCACCGCGGAGCCACAATGCGCGGGACTTCATCTCCTGACGAGTCTATTTATGCTCCGCGGAGTGCGTAAATTCTGAAATTCATATGCTCCTGGCATTTTATGCCTTAAAACTCGCTGACCCTTTACGAACCGCGTAGCTGAGCGGAGCTCAGCGGTGTAGCTTTCTGCACACCGACTGTGATGCAACGTGCATCATCGACCTCGAGTAGTGAATTCCATGCAGCGGCCCGGGAGTGGGGAATACTGAGCCGGTGACCCCATTTGACGATGACTCTGCTGGTTTGAATGCTTTTAAAATCCATAAAGAGACTATAGTAAACGCCACCCGCGGCAAACGATTAAAATAAAAAATAAAACAGTGCGAAAAGACAACTACTTTAAAATGCTGAAAACTTTGAAACTCTTTCCCGGTTCACGCGATGTCGCTTCGCCGTTCTGTTTGGGCGCCAGATAGCCGTTGGCATTATTTTGACACCGGCAGAGCGTCGGCTTGCGTGCCGGCGGCGATACTTAGCGAAACCAAAGCAAAACCAGAAAACATGCCACACATAGGAAGCCGCCGATTACTGCAAACGAGCGACCGGGTTCGGCGAAAGCGATTCAGCTTGGCGTGACGTCACAAGGCCGCGCCACGTCAGCGATGCGAGCAAAGCCATCCGGCGAAATTTGCTTCACGAGGAGGGGCCCATTGTCGGACTGGATCGAGGGAAAGGTGAAAGGGGAGCAGAGGAGGGGGACCAGCCCGACGCACTCGTCTTGTCAACCTGACCTGACCCAACCAGGCGCGAGCCGCGCGGGCCGCGCTAGCAGTGCACCTGCCGGGCTGCACCTTGCAAACGCCCCGACGCCCTGACCTCGGCCAAGCCGCCAACCTGCCGCGCTGCAGGCCGGCTGCAGGCCGGCGGCAGGCGGGCTGCACGGCCCGGCGAGTAGGACACTGACCCGCTGAGACGCGACGACGCCCCACTCCCAGCGGCGGCTCACTCTCAGTTTCCAACCGACGCCCCCGTGCGGCGCCGGGCAGCAGGGCGCCCAGCGCACCCCCAGCACGCCCCGAGCCCCAGGCACGCCCCAGGCACGCCTTAAACGAGCCGCAGGCACGCCTTAAACACGCCCAAGGCATGCCCCGCTGGCCCACTCTGTACTTGTCGCCCGCTGATTGCAAGAACGTATCGCGGGGGTCGTATTTTCTGGAAATCCCCGGAAATCCGCTTTATGGCCCGTTGAGGTGCAGTCCTACTGATTTACAGCGCCGCTGTCCGTCCTTCCGTCCGCGGGGCGTCGCGTCAAGAGGCGGTCACGTGTCGACGCGCTGTCGGGCGTCGCGGCGTCGCGTGGCTCGCCGCTCGCGGAATCGTTTATCTCGAAACGCGCAACCGCGGTCGGGAACACGGTCGGGGTGTGCTCGAGACAAGCCGCTCCGGATTAGCGCGGCGCGAAGCAAGCGAAGCAAACCGTCGCGGATTCCCGCGGATTTCGGAAAGCGGCGTCTCGTCTCGCTCAGCGCGGGTTGCTGTTCCGCCCACGGAATGCCACCCGCTTGTTTGGGACCAGGGCGCTTCTCACACTACCATCGAGAGCAGGGGCCGCAAGGGCTCCGCGGCGAGGGATGTCGGCTTCTCGAACCGACGCGGCGGTCGCGATGACGGAACCCGGCGCCCGTCCTGCGCTCTGATTGGCCCACGCGGCCCGCCCTCCGTTATCTGGGCGAGGTGTCACTGCCCGCAATCACTGCAAGACATCGCTCCCGTTGGTCCAATCAGCGAGCCGTTCGGGGTTAGGTGTTCGAAAAGAGGTAATTCGAAGTAACACGAAATTTACACGAAGGAGTGAAATCGAAGTTCTAGTTCGAAGCTGAAGCAATACGACTAGGATACGGAGAGACACAAAAGCATTGAAAATGTTCGCATTATGGAGTAGATGCATCGCGGACTTTTTTTTTGGAGTGGTTCGCGTCAGCCCCATTCAGGTCGCGGGATGAAATCCCTCGATAAGAACGACTAGACGGCGCTGCAGTAAAAGGCGTCACTCCACCGACAATGTTAATCGCCATAAATTGCTGTAATGACTGTCGCGCTCTGAAAGTAAACACAACGAAGGGTTGACGCGCAGAGTCTGTTTCACTCTTCCTGCTCGTCGAAGGCTTCCTTGACCTTCGTCGCCGTGTCCCGGGAGGACCTCGACCCCCCCGGGCCTTGTCATTCTCATCCCGCGCGATTTAAACCTGTACGGAGCCGGCCGACCCACGAGACCCCGCCCGGGCCCGCCCCTCCCCGGACAACCAGTCTCCCCTTCTTCCCGACCCGTCCGGGAAAACACAGACGGCGGCGCTTCCCCGCCACCGCGATCCGCGATCCGCGACGGCGGAGAGGAGGCGGCATCGTTACAAAAACATTAACTGGCATGTCGCGCCGACGTCGCTATCATCGTGCTAACTCGCGTTCACCTTGGCGGCCACTACGCAGAACGTGCACGCAGGCCGGTGCAAGGCGGTCAGGCGGCGATCGCCAACGTGACGCGCGAAGCGCGAAGCAGCCTGCCCCACGCAGACATCGCCAGCCGGCCAGCTGTGACCGCCAGGCAGGGAGACAGGGGGAGTTTTGGCGGGAAATTCGACACTGATCGTCGTCCATCAGCAGCGAGAGGTTTCAAACCGAGTTACACATCCGTAGGTGAAAGTTTTCCATCACATCACGAGACTCGTGCATGAAAACACAGGGGACTTGTGCCACCGGTGTGACGGACTGAGCGCTCACCGTGAAGCCGAGGTTGTGCTGGCCGTCCGCCATGTCGGGGCCGCGGTGTGTTGCGCGTGGTTGTATCGCGTGGACACGCTGGAGAAGGCGATCATATGGACGGGGCAGTACCAGCGGTCGCGGAGGCGGAGCACACCTTCCCTGAGAGCGGTGTGGAGCGTCTTTGGCGCCGGGATCACTGGCGCTGTCCTGGCGCTGCTGGGAGACGCGGGATTGGCGAGATCCCGGCCCCGCAGGCCGCCGGCACTCCGTGGGAGGGGGCATTCCCAGTGCCAGCGCCCCAGCGCCGCGGCCCCCTCCTGCCCCCTCCCGTTCCCATACCGAGCGACGAACGAAGCGCCCCCTACATGCCGAGGCGTCGAAACAGATTCGACTGTACTCATCGCGTCTTTGTTGTTGACAATTTTCAGATGCCGGCCGCTCTAGTTAACCCGTCATCCTTTGCCCTACAGTGCTAATGAGGTAGCGTGTGGCCATGACGAACGGATTATTGTCCCTGGTGAGCGTTTTGTTTGACTAGATGTAAACAATAAAAGTCTGTCTCTGATTCACGGTGGCAGAAAAAGCGTTTCAACTTGAGCGAAGCTGCTAACCGTTCGTTATGGCACTCTCAATGTACTCCTCATTGGTACTTGGGTTTGCCCTGAATGGGCTTTTCATTAGCATGTCTGTAAGACGTCAAGGGAAGAAAGAGAGAGAGAACACTCTACTACTGACTCCCCCCCGGCAGTATGTAGGAAAAAATGAGGCACAAACTTTCTTTTTAAACTGTTCATAGAATGAAAAAGAAACTTTGCAGAGTCACGATGACTTCTTTCTATCGCATACAAAAAAGATTGTTACGAGTTGTGGAAGTTTTATGAATGACGACTTCTGCTTATGTCCACTGTCCACTGCAGTCCACTGCCGCTCAAAACATCCTGTTGTTGTCGTACTTGACTGGACGAGGTGTGTTTTTTTGTGGCTAGTCTCGTGACCTTATGTTAATCACAGTATCCACCATCTTTCTCCAGGCCGATTTAAGTACCCGAAGTCAAGCAAGCGCTATTGCTTGAATTTGTTTCAAGTTTGGAGGATTGTAGATGGGGTTTCTCCAAATAAACCGACCCAGTCAGGGCGCCCCTGCTTGCAGGGAACTCCTAGCTTGAAATATGGTTGCTCTAACCAGATAGTCTATCCTCGATGCCTTGGACTAATCGACGCCGAGCTTAGGCTGTTTATCGACAAAGCGTTTCTGGCTTGTTGCTAATAGGTATGTTACGTTCCGGCCCCCGTGCAAAGCAGCGCGTCATCAGGACAGTCCGAAGATGATTGATAAGATAAGAGTGCAGCTGTCGAGTGCATGCCTGTCATGTCGCAGCTACCGTGCGCGCCCTTCCCGTTAATTGGAAGCGATATCACGCATTATTCTGAGAATGTGTGTTCAGTTAGCTGTAGAAAAAAATCTTTATTGCAAACGTTTTGTGCGGCGCCCGGCCGCACGACTCACATCAGGTACTCTCTATATACATGCTAGTATTTTCGTATGAACTATCAAATTAGGAAGTTACAGTAGAGAGTCAATCTCATCGAGTCGGCTACAAGCATCGTCAGATCAAAGCCGGCTCTCGATTGCTATGGCGAATGGCTCAGTTACAAGGAATAACACAAGACCCCGTTTCACAGCCTTTCCGGTCCAAAACGGGTTCCTTTAAAACACATTTCTTAAAAAAAAATTGGTCAGTTGATAAAACGCAGCATTCTGGACCATGCGAGTCCGGTGAACCCGGTCTGGAATTTTGCCGAGAGCTTCCGCCTCGAGGTGCTTCTCTCGCGGCAATCCTAACTTATTTGACTTAATAAATTGTTTCAGTCTCTTATTAGATGAGCGAGCGCAGTCGCTCATGCGTAGGTGGCGATGATGTCCACGATGGAGGCGTAGGTGCCGGACACCAGGCCGATGACGGCGAACACGGCCAGGAGGGCGTTCTTGGTCAGCAGCCACTTGAAGGCCAGGCCGTGGGTCTGGTACCAGAAGGTGCTGAGCTGGATGAGGGCGGGCAGCATGATGCCCACCACGGACAGCGACAGCGCTCCCACCAGCGAGATGATCGGACCCAGGTTGGGGACGGCCACGGCGAAAATGACTGGAACAAGAGCACCGCAGCGCAGTGGTTAGCGCACTCAACTTCTAGCTCACAGGACGCCGGTTCGGATCTCACCCGCCGCAAAGTTTTTCACAGGGTACTTACAGGCGAGGAGGACAAGGGCGGTGCGGACGACGTATTCGATGAAGAGGACGTGGTTGTGCTTGAGGAAGCGGGGCTGCAGGTAGGTGCCCCAGACGATGTCGATGACCACGTAGCACTGCAGGGGGTGGGTGCCGAAGATGGCGATGGCGATGAGGATCTTGACCACCTGGGCGGGGCTGCGGACAAACGGTGGTTAGGTCTAGCGAACAGCTCCATTAGGTCCCGGGCGATCCGAAGCGCCACTTACATCTCGTCTTGCGGCAGGTTGAGGGTGATGCTGGCCATGGCGTTGGAGCCGTACTTGAGGTAGCCGAAGAAGCCCAGGAAGACGTAGAGCATGACGATGGGCACCATGCCGCGGTTCAGCACGCCGAACTTGCCCAGGTACTCGCGCGGCCGGCGCATCTCGTTGCCCAGCGGCACCACCTGCGACAGAGAGGTGTCCGTTGGTTTCCGTCAGCGCGCGTCCTTGGCGGACACGGTGTCGTTGTCGACGCGGAATGTGCGCGAGGCCCGTGACGCAGTGAAAGTGCTGCACCGTGTCGCGGCCGGCCTTGGGCGCCTTGGGCACGGCGGGCACCTCGGTGCGTCGCTATCGGCATGCATCGGGCACCATCGAGCACCGCGACGAGTGGCGGGACCAGCCGGCCCGGCAGCCCCGGCGAGGACGCGCAAGAAGACGGAAGAGGAACCCCGCACCGCCAACAAGAAGGTTTTGGCACAGACATGACCACCTTGTGCGCGCGCATAACTCATTGCGTCCTTGACACACACTCCGCGCGGACCGCGCCGTGCCATGCCGCCGGACTCGGCGGACTCGGCCGGCCCGTGTGCCAATAACCACATTGGCGACTTTCCGTGATGGATGCTCGGCCTTTCCCCAGGACAGGGCGACAGATCAGCGGCCGGATCGTCTTTTGGACGCGATTCGAACGGCTGTTAAGTCATCCCCGGCCACTGCGGCCGGTTTGATTCTCCGTTCACACGGATTCGGGGAGCCGAGGTTCCAGGGAGGAGGGAAACATTGGCCAAGCGGTGCGGAACCCGAGACTTACCACGCCAATCGCCTCCAGGGCGAAGATGACCGTGCCGAAGAACAGGGGCCAGTTCTGCACCTCGCCGACGGGCTCCACCGTGGAGATGTTGGGCAGGTCCTTGAAGATGTAGCTGAGGACGACGCCGAAGGCGATGATGGTGGCGACCAGTGAGAAGGACGAGAAGGGCGCCAGGTACTTGAGGTTGCGGATGTAGTTGATGAGGATGAGCGGCAGCAGCAGGATGCACATGTAGAGGCGGATGTCCAGCTTGGCGCCGTACTGCTCGGCCACCTGTCCCCAGAATGCAGTCGTTAAGGCGTGCACCGCCTGGCCCCTCGGTGATGAAGAGGCCAGAAAGAAAGTAAAGAACAAAAAGCACAAACAGACAAAGAACTAAACACGAATAAAGATAAAACACAACTAATCGCGATTTTCTTTGCGTACAGAAAAAGCTGCTCAGGACAGACAGAAAGCATTTTGTGAGATACTAAATCATGGAGGGTTAATTAAATTTACTGAGATTTAGTTCAAATTAATGTTCTTTATGTCAAGTTGAAAGAATGCTGCGTTGTTGAGGAATCGAAAGTAATTTTTTGTGCAAGTTGGAAGAGAAAAGTGCTGCGAAGCTGAACGCATCGCGATTGGCTACTCACCGCTTCTACACTTTTCGCTACAAAGACCGTGTAGACCGACATGGTACCGATCTGGTAGATGCACAGGAAGATGTGTTCAGAGTACCTATAGCATAAACCAGCGGTTCAACACGAGCGGTGAGTCACGTTCAGTGTTCAGTGCAAGCAAAGAAAAAAAAGATTTTCTTTCTGCGAATTCTTCCGGATGCCTGAAAACGTCATCTGGCAGATAAGTGAGACAATATGCCGCACCTCAAGAAATTTTTCCCTTTCATTTTGAGTATGTCACAGGATGCACGAAGACAATGAAGCTTTGTAACAACAGGCGTTTGCACTGAAAACAACGTATCGACTGTATGACTGCTCTATTAAACCTAGCGCACAATTCCTGATTCTACGAGGACAGAACACAGACGACCACACGGGATTGCAGGGTTTCTTCGGGACAAGAAGTGGTTATTCCTACAAGGGACAATTGCAAAGCGACGGCCACCGAAACCTGCGAAAGGTACACGCACTTTACCTGCGACAAGTTATCTGAGACGAAAACCGTGTATACGGCGCATGACCCAATTTCGTATATGCCTAAAGCTACGTGCACTGATCTCCTGCAGAAAAAAAAGATCACTCGACATCAGGAAGTCAGCAAGCTGAAAGGTAGTTTCTGAAATGAGGGCTTCGAATCAAAAAAATGTTTTCTCTTGGACCTTAATGAGTACGAGATAGATGCTTGTTCTGCGTTTCCACCTACAATGCGTCTACGGCACTGGAAACAGTTTTCATTTGAGGGCAAGCTGGGGCACTGGTGTGACTGCTTTGAGCTTGGCTTGCGAATGCAGGCCGGGCTGGGAGTAAAGTAAGGTGATATACTTACTCGGCAACTTTCGACAACTTCTTGAAGATAGGCGGACCCTCCAGGAACCCTTCCCGCGCTATTTCGTGGTAGTTGAGGCTGGGTACTCTCCGCCTTTTACAAATCGCGTATTCTGACTGGATCTGGAACGAGCAACATCAGTCTCAGCACACCACTTGTTTCTACTGCAAATTCAGTGATGTTGGCGCAGGGGCACCCACCAGGATGTGCACGCAGTAGGTGCAGAGGAAGCCGATGGCGGCGGTGCCGCCCAGCCCCAGCGCCCACCCCGCGTGGAAGAAGGCCTGGGGCATAGCCAGGATGCCGCTGCCGCAGGAGGCCTTCATCATGTGGAACAGCGCGTCGAAGTTCCTGTGGCCCAGACAAACGTTTAACTCCCTGTTGCCTCTGTTCGTTGGATCCCAGGACACTGGTCGGTCGCCATACTCACGTCAGCGGGTGGTCCAGCTCCCGGTTGTCGAAGGGGTCGTAGTCGTCCGCTTCGGCGTCCCTGCTCTTGCCGGAGACGCTCTTCATGGGGAGGGGTTGTGAGGTGGCCATCGCGGTGCCCTTCTTTACGGAGGCTGAACCCGCCAAGTCCAGCGCTGCTTTCTCTGCCCTGCCAAACCAGACGACGGGGGGTGAGTTCCTCGCTAGCCTCGCCCAGGGGCGCTGGCCGCGGTAGCCTCACTCAGGGGCGCTGCCCTATCTGCTGGACGCGGCGGCGCCAAGGCCGCGGAGCATTGTCCACTATCGGACGCCACTTCTCGTAAAGCGTGTTTACGCATCGCGACGGAAAACTCCGCCGGGACGAGCCCCCGCGTGACAAGCCGACGAGCCACACGGGGTCGCTAACGCGCGGGGCGGCGCGGAGCATGGCCGAGCGTGAGGGAGCCTGGGCCAGCCTGGGCGCGTGGACCGCCAGAGGCCGCCAGAGGCCGAGTCACACTAGCCTCGCCGCGCGTGGCGCGTGGAGGGCCGGCCGCGTCGCAGGGAAGGACCGAGACTGCGAGCCCCCAAGACACGTTCAGGTTCATGTCGACGATGAGCGTCGGAAACGTTATGCACACGGCGGTTTTATTTTCAATTTCCTCATTATTAGTACCATGATGGTGGCGACGCTCATCACGCGAATGTCGACACCTACAATTGGACCAAGTCGTGTGTCCGCATCCCTTCCAGTTTTCCCTCCAAAAGGGAGCCCTCCGATTGGCCGGCGTGACGCTTGGCGCGAAGTGTGACACGGGCTCAACGAGGTGCTAACGGCCGGCACATTCACTAGCGGCTGACCCCAATGCCGGCATAATGGTCACCTAACCGGTTGCACGCGTCGCCTCGCCGTCCCTCGGCGTCCCTCGGCCGCCCTCGAGGCACATCGCACAGTGTGACGTCAGCGGAGCGGCCTGCACCGAGCAGGCCGGCCCACGCCAGGGCACGCCAGGGTTCGACGCGCTCCGCTTCCACGCCGGGGAGGTCGGCCAGACAAAGAGAAGCGAACGAGCGAGCGAGGACTCTCTTGTTTCGCACTCGACTCCCAGTCGGGAGACGCAAAGACCGCCTGCTGATTTTCGCTGAACCGACGACGGAAGTACGGAACAGGGTGCTTCTCATTGCTAATTTATTCGTCGTTAAACCGTCCGGCCCTTTTCTGTGTTGTGGTCTCACTCACCTTGCTGGAGGAGAAGCCGAGTCATTCTGCAACAGGCGAAACAAGAGGCAACATTACAAACATGCACATGATCAATCAGTTCAACCCTCAAGTAAAAGGTTGGCTGCGCCAGTGGGGTTTCCAGTGACGTCATGCACGCAGGACGTCACTCGGGCTGGGGGTACTGGGAAAGTCCCACCGCCAGGACTGGCAGGGATGCCAACGAAAGGCTTAGCAGGGCGGGCCTCCTGGCAACACCCGGCCCGCGCGCTGTGCTAGGCCCTCGACGGTGTTGTTGTTGACGCCCTCGCGGTCTCGATGGCATGCCAGGAAATCCTCCGCACTCGGCACCGTTCTGGGAGACCTTGGCGATTAATCCCCGAAAAGACATCCAGGACTCGGACTGTACCACGACTCGGCAGCGCGGTAAAGAGGGCCAACCACACCTGCTAACGCTAGTGTTCGTCCTGATGACGCACGTCGTCAACAACGCGACGCATTCCGTGCGGCTGCCGGCCACGCGATTTCGCCCCTTTTGGCACGGCCGGCTCGGCTGGCTCGGCCAGCGCGCTTGGAGGCCGACAAGGTCGCCCTGACGCTCGCGGCGAAGTGGCGTGCGTCCGGTGCCGTCCGGTGCGTCCGACGCGCTCCGACGCGCCGCGCGCAACAGCCGCGCGCCCGGCCGCAGTTACGGCGCTTCGGCCGCCGAGTCCGCCGGCCGCCAATATCGTGTCAACTGGAGCAAATGCTGGAGAAAACGCGCTGGAAGGTCACCGTCCACACGCCGCGTCCTACGCCTGCGCGAGGGGCCGGTGCGGGTGTCTCGAGCACCCCGGTGAGAGGCAGCTCTTCGGAAGCCGCGAGCAGCGACCGCCCGGGCCAGCACCGGCCCATTACGGCGGCCATAACGATTGCGTTTTTCCGGCGTTTTGCGTGATTCGGCCGCCACACTCATTCGCATTGCCGCAAACGGCGGGGGGAAGCCGAGCGGGAAGGCGCCGCTTGGAAGCTCAGGCCCAGCCGGCCGAGTCACATAAAAGCGACGGGGAATTGTTAGCGAACAACTGGTGAAGCGTCAAGGAGAGGATGGGCGCGAAAAAAAAATGGGTCGAGCGAATGGTGTGGATTTGTGCATTCGATGCAGCGCATTCATCGCGTCAGTAGTAAAAGACCCCCGTTGTCGCAGCACAGCTACGCCCCAGTTGCGCCTTTGTTGCTGCTTGCCCTTCTAGGCACTAAACTAAAAGGTTGCATGCCGAGGTAGCAGCCGCGGGTCGAACGATGGCAAGCGCCCCGGACCCAAGATGGCGTCCGCAACAATGACGGTTCCTTACTACTGACGGCGTGGACGGGCCTGACAGGCCAGCGGGGGAATTAAAAGACTGGCCGAGTGGCTCTGCCGGTGTGTACTGTAGCACGTGGTCACTGACCTTCGTCAGCACGGCGGGGCCCACGGCGGGGCCTCGTGTTGGCCCGGACAACACGCGAAAAGGATCAGCGGGGCCAATAAAGAAAGCATTCCGGATGACGTCACGCGGTCGTACGCACCGATGAACTTTAATGGCTGAGAATGTGCGAGAAGGGACAATAAGTCCGCGTTGGTGTGCACCCCTTAATACACTGACCTAGCCCAAGAAAACAAGCAAAGGATACAAGGAGCCGCCAACACGTCGAAGAGGCGTCGTGAATCCGGACGAAACCAGTTAGGTGCCTGGAGCCACTACTCATGGGAAAATGAGACATTCGGTCGTGGCGTGGCGGGGCGGGGCGAAGCGGGGCGTGGCCACACCAATGTGAGGCATCCGCATCACGCGTTGCCAATCAAATGAAAAAAAGGTAACATTTCCAAGAAATGCCTCATTCTGGCGGCACTGTTTCTTATTATCGGGGCAAACGGAGCGTTCTACTACGGCCCGGTACGGCAGTCCTTCCTTGTTGAGTTGATGTTCTAATAGCGGTTTTACGAGACGACGTCATTGGAGAGAGAGAGAGAGAGAGAGAGAGAGAGAGAGAGAGAGAGAGAGAGAGAGAGAGAGAGAGAGAACTCGCACTTTGAGTGACTTGGACGCTGGAGGGGGAGACCTTGCGCTCAGAGCGTGGACACTCGACTTAATGCACATCACAATTTTTCCTGCTTCGCTTCAATCATTCCTCACAAAAAACGAGTTTTCGGTTTGTTCTCCTCTTGTTTTATTGAGTGACACTTACCGGGTCGTACTGGAATCCTGCATTGTCGTGGTGCATTTTTTTCTCCGTCTTTTGGTCCAATGGTCAACAACTCCTCGACCGAAAGCCAACTCGTCTGGAAAAAGAAAAGGAGAAGGAATCTTTAAGGTCGTTTCTTGATTATTCACCGCGATTCTCACGCCCTGCACTCGTTGGCCCCTTCAATTTTTACTGCAGAAGGAAATCCTGTTTTCCGTTTAACGAGGAAAAACCGAAGAATTCGAGGAAATTGTTATCGGAGCCCTGCCCGAACGATAGCGACAAGCGACGAGCGACTCACAGGGGGCGGATTCGGAGCTAATCCCAACGTGTTTGCATCCTGCGAAGCGCCGGGACAGACAATAGCAAATTATCTCACCTTTATCACTGCAAAGCTATTTGCCGTACAGTGCACAATGGGCTCAGGTGAACATCGTGCCCTTTGAACGGAAGAAAGGTGGAGTGGGCCACATCTCAAAATAACGAGAAGATTCGCGGGGATGCGAAACCAGGCGAAAGGACCTCGTTGTCGACTCGCCGCACAGATATAGACTTGACCGAGTGCTTGTCGCGGTGTAAGAGTCGACAGGTTGCGAACACGGCAGTAACCTCAACGTCCGAAAGCCCATAAGTCTCCCTACAAGTTGCAGCTAAGGAGAGCCCGACAGTCGTTCGGCCGCAGGCTGTGACACGAGGGCGTCTCGTGCCGAGATCAGAGATAGTCAAATAGTCTGGGCCCAATCTAGCCGCGACACTGTGTCACATTTATCTGCCAAGTAGTCTCGCGCGTGCCAATCACGCGGCGACCAGGCCGAGGCTGTAAAAGCGCGGCTTCCTGCCGTCGGCATGCCGACAGCTTTTTTTTTTCAAATGCCATTTTCTTGACAGTGGCGTGCGAATAGTGACGGCGGTGCGCAGCAACGAGGATGCGCGGCCATTGTCGGACGCACGCGCGGACGCTGCGAACTTCACCGGACCACGTGGCCGCGGCGTGGGCAGGCAACGCGTTCACTCTTCCCTCCAAATGGCACTGATAGTAGTACTCCACGTCGTGAAAGAAAAAAAAACAGAGGCATACTTTTTGACGTTTCAAATAATCATTACAATAGTTTTCGCGTCAAAATGACACAGCTTTGCACTGAGAAACTTTTTTTGCAGCGCGAAACCGTACTTTTTCGAAGGGTGAGTGGCCGTGGCCCGCGATGAAGTCACTTCATATGCTTGTGTCAAGACGGTGGTCCGAGTGGGAGTAGCGTTGCCAAATTAGAATCGCGACCAAGCGCCGAACCGTTCGCACTCTTGCTCACACTGTAGCACACCCACACAAAGTAAGTCGTGCCGTGTGTATGAGACAGCGGAGCGCGTGCATTGTTTAGAGTGTTTGCCACAACGATGCACACTTCACCTGCCAATGAATGAATGAACGTGCAGAAATGCTAGCCAAGGGTTCCCTGGGGCAAAGTCGCTGGTCGCCATTCCCATGATAGCCAAGTACATGGACGCTCTAACTGCTCTAATTTTCGTGACCTACACACTGCTGGCCCTGATTCTAATTTTGAACCCCTTATCGCGAATTTCGAAAACGGAACAGTGGGCGCTTTGAGTGGGGCAGACAACTCGAGGTGATTACCCTGCCGTTGAGGGGACATCCCTGTGGCGGTTCAATGTAGTCACATTCACGTAAGCCGCGGTTACTAACGTCGTTTAAACGGTTACAATCGTTTTGCCACCTTTTTATTGCGCGTACATTTCCTCTCCCTATCGCGCTCTCCTCGATCAGCAATTAGGCTGCGATAAGTGGGCCTTGCACTTCAGCCGCCCTCGAGACACCGATGACTTGCCGGTGTGAAAATTTGGCGAAAGGAGCCGATTTCTGTCGAATTTGAACTCAGCGCGTGGCGGCTATCACTTGATTGCCTGGTGGCTCGCCGCTATCGAATGGCTTTGCCTCCGCTTTGCCTCAGCTTTGACGTCCCTCGTTAATCGCCGCTTATCGGCCGAACGTCGCGACGCTCGGTGGCAAACGGTTTCGCTTAAGTTTGGGTGCGTTCTACGCGGCTGGTGCGTGCCGTGTGTTCCCTCCACGCACCTGAGTGAGGGATGCTGGGCCGATGGCCGATGATGCCGGCGGGGCGTTAGGCTGGCCGGGCGTCGTGCCTCACGGGGCGGCGTGGAGTGGCTGGCCGGCGGGGCGAGGCGTGGCAGTGTGGCTGCAGCGTGCGGCAGCGTGGCTCTGGCTTGCACGGTGCGCGAGCCACTGAAAGGCTGAAGTCTCTGCCTGCCTCTGTCTGCCGCACTGCGGCTGGTGCGGCACGGCGCCGCTTCTTGTCCTTCCCTCTCCTCTCCGTCCCACCGGCCGCCCCCTCTCTCTCTTTCTCTGTCTCTCTCGCTGACTGCCTGGCGCAGCCTGGCGCGTGGAGGGGCGCAGGAGGCACAGACTTTGGCGGGGCATCCGTGGCATCCGCGGCATGCTTTCTTCGGAAAGTTTGGCGGTCGGTCCGCGATAGAGGAAACCTCCGCGCCACCTGCAGCATGCACTTGAAGGGCTGGGACGGCTGCCCCCCCCCCTCCTCCCCCCGAAACGGCGCCACCGTCGAGGCGACTCGGAAAAACTGTCAAAACTGCCTCAAAGACGTGATCAATGTTCGTTCCACTACTGAAACAAGCGAATTTAAAGGCGATAGCCTGAAGAAAGAGCTAAAATGCTTGAAAGAATGTAAAAGACGAGCTTTCTTCGTCAGCGTTGAGTGGACGCCGCCCCGGTGGAGGCATTGTCTTCGCAGGGCCGGGTGGGGCCGGACCGGTGTCTCGCCGAACGGCCCAATGGCCGCACGCAGGGGCCCAGAGGCCCAGAGCAACGCCGCGCTGACGGCCGGTTTTTGCGTCTGAACGCCGACGTCGGCGGGGAAGCCCAAATGTCGGGCCGGCCAAAAATGAAAGCAGGGCGGGGCGGCCGACGGGGACGGGCTGAACAGGGCTTCCGTCCAAGTCAGACTGCTCCGCTTGGGTTTCACCCTCACTCTCTTAACCTAAAAATTTATTTTATTCGGGGGATTGGTAGCCCAGGGTCAAATGGGTCGGGTCGAGGTCGGTCCCAGGCGAATTGGACCCGGGGCGAGATTAGTGGAGTGAGTCCCTCAGAAGGCCCTCGCCAACGGACTGGCGTTCCTTTGCTCGCTTTGCACGCTTTGCAGCACGCGGCCGCTCGTCCAATCGCCGTCGCGTCGCCGCCACACCCCTTGCTGTATACAAATAAATCATTTGAGGCGTTATCTCGGCGTCCAGCGCCTTGCACCGCCTGCCCTGCCCGCTTCGCCTTATCAGTCTAACTGGCAATGACGCCGCCGGGGATTCGCATTGCCGGTCATAAACGGTCGTAAACGGCAGCCTGGCCAACAATCAGGAGAGGAGCGCAAAACAGCGCAAAAACAAAGAGACATCTACGTACCTGGACTCGTGGACTGGCCACGGCGCTCAGGCTTATCTACTGGTGCCATGTGGAGCGTTCAAATTTCGTCGCCCATCGACCAAAGTACACTTATTTTTGTTCGGACGGACCTTACTTGACCGAAACCACCTTCGACTCTTCATTTTTATCAGAAGCACTCGGCATAATACCGCGCAATCAAATAGAAATGGCAAGATTTTTTATGAAAATGAATGTCATAATTCTACCCAAAGAACAGAAAAAGGTCACGATGATGTCAAATGATTAGTGACAAGATGACATCATTGCCGACGGTCAAAGTTAGCGATTTTTGACGTCAAGTGCATGTCAATTGATATCCTTTTATTGAATATGATATCTTATGATGTAAATTTGACACAAAATACCGAGTCAAATTCTAGTCATGAGGGGTCACTGATGCAGAGCGTGACTAAATTTTATCAATTTTAGCTCACTTGACGTCAATATGACCTTTTTCTGTTCTCTGGGTAGCTGGCCAAAAGGGCGGTGACGCTACGTTAATGGCCCTGCAATCGATTAGTAAGATACAACCTCGTACCGGCTACCCGAAAACAAGATACCCAGATAGAGCGAAGATTAATACTCGCCTGGTGACCGGCTACCTGTTGCACTCGTAAAACGTGATGTAGAAGTAAGATCTCGCCAACGGTCGCGCCTCCGCCCGTAAAGTGCTCGCACCGCACCGTGACACAATGGACTCCGTCACTGCCCACGCACGAAAGGACTCTCGCCGACAGAGTAACCGACTGCCGGCGTCGCCGGGACGCCGCTCTTTCCATAAGTGCCGGCGGAATTTTCACCGTACTCCGTGTTTTTCCTGTTCATTTGAAGCAGCGCTGGCCGGCCCGCGGCGGAGATGAATGACCAGCAGCCAGGCGACGGCCGCTTGCCGACGGGGGGCCGTGGGTTTGGCCCTGGGGCCCACCTTCGTGAGAGCACCCCGGTGAAGGGCTCACCCAGGTGCCGCGTGAATGGAGCCAAAGGGAGCCGTCGGTCTGGGTCAGTCTCGACGGGACACGCCCTTCGCGAGCGCAGTGGCACTTGTCACACGGGACTACACCGCGCCTCAGGGACCTCGGCGCTCAAACAGCGTTCAGGAGATACCCCGCGTTGTCCGCCACGCGCCCCGAGCCTCCAGTCGGCCCGGCCTCGTTGGCGCGGAGAGGCCGGCCGAAAGCGGCCAAAAGCGTCCCTGAATGGCGTGACAAAGGCCGGGCCGGGTGACCCACTGACCGAGGGTCCTGACGTCCTGACGGCCCGAGGGTTCAAGGCTTTCGGCCGTGCCTCAGCCTCAGCGCAGCCAACTCCTCAAGGATGTCGCAATTCGGCAGAGTAAACACAAAGAAAGTGTGTTCTGGTTGAGGTTTTTTCCTCGGGACCTGGCAACCCTCTTTTCTGGGTGCGGCCGCGTCTCGCCCCGTAGTAACCAACCTACCGGCACTCTAGGCCGAGGTCTCCCCTGAGCGGGCCAGCGGGCCAGCGGGCCAGTCGATATCAGGCACATTGGAAGCGAGAGGGGCAGAGAGCGACGAAAAGAAATGGATCAATCGCGACGGAAACTTTGTTGCACGTGACACGCGAAGGACATTGGACGAGTGGACCTAGCGTGCCAGCGCGCCAGCCAAGCAGCCAGGCAGCCCAGCGGGCCCATTGACAAAACAGGCAGATAGCATTCGAGGCGCTGTCGCCGGCCCCTGCCCTCCGGCCTTCCGCCTAACTGGCTTACGGACGGCCCCTGCCCTCCGGCCGGGCGACCGGATCAAGAGATTAACCTCCTGTCGCGCCAATTTCTATTGAAGGAACTTTGAAAGAGGAAAAATTCCCAGGAACTGGATTTAAACTTTTTTCTCTGCGTGCGGGCTCGCGCGACCGTCATAAAACCAAGTCGGCCGTCTGTTTATACGGAAAGCGTCCGATCGGCGTGTGCGCAGTGGCGTGCACGTCGCTGCGTTGCGAGCAGGTGGACGCACCTTATCGCTCCGTCGCCATGCATCGCCATGCAGAGCGTGCGGAGCGTCTAGTACCGAGACGGCCGGCGCGCAGGGACTGACCGTGGCCGCCGACGCCTCCAGGCACGTCGCCGTCGTCCATGTCCACTCGGGGGCGGCGGGGCGCACTCGGCAGGCCGACGCGGAGGGTGCGGCGGGCGGGGCGGGGCGGGGTGTGGCAATCGCCTGGCAACGCCTGTGGCGGCCTGTGCCGCACTCTCTGTCCACTATCGCCGCGGCAGTGCGAGGCCGCCTTGCGCCCGGTGGGCAGGCAGCCCATCGGACGCGCACGTGTCGCGGACTCGCTTTGTTGTGGGCGAGGGCACTGGACCCCGTCCGGGGAGGGGGGGGGGGGAGGGGAGGCCGGTAGGCTGTCCCGTGCGGCGTGCGCGCCGCGCGGGTGGCCTATGCTCGACTCGACGGGCGCTCTGGCGTGCCCGAGGGGGTGCCCGACGTGCTCTGGCGCCTAGCCTGGCTGGTTCCGGAAGCAGCCCGAGCACGACGACGGGGTGCGGCGCGTCCGCCAGAGCGCTGGCTCCTCCGAGCTTCGACCTCCCCGCATGCGGCACCCTCAACCATTTATTTTTGAAGGCCTTGTCGAAGGCCGCGCTGCTGGACGGGCTTGATCGAGCTGGAGAGCGGCGATGCCAAGGCAAAACGAAACCCTTGTTCCCGCTAACGTCGGCGCCCGTTAAAGGGTGAAGGGTTACGAGCCAGATATTGAATTACAAAATACTGCGCGCGTCGCGTCTCGTTTACAACTTTACCATTTTACGGCCACTACCTGCCCGAAGTTACGGCCTCCTAATAACGGACCCGGCGAAAGGCGCGCTCGGCCGCGCGTGGGGTATCCCCGTTTTCACCTCGCGCCGCGCCGCCGCTGGCGTCGCTACCCCTCGCCCCCATGGCGGGGCGACGGCGATGCCCCGCGCCAGCAGGGGCCGTGGCGCTCATGCCAGCGTCGCTACCCCGCGCGGCGCGCACGGCGGCAGCTCGGCCGCTGTGATTTACAGGCGACACGGCGTCTCATTCCCGCCTAAGAGAGATGCAGGGCTCGCCGAGGCTGGCTCGCCCGGCCGGTGCGAACAACTTGTGCCATCCCGGGCGCCCCGCCCCGCCCCGCCACGGGTGGCCGCAAGGAAAGTGCCGATTTATCATCCGATAGGCAACGAGGCGAAAAGGAACAAGAGCGGCAGACGGCTGACGTGGCGCGTGGCGGCGCGATCGGCTGTCTGCGGCTGTCTGCGGCTGTCTGCACGGTCCTCGGACCGGCGACCCGAGGCAGCCAAGGCCGTGCCTTTGATATCAATCATCATTACATTCAGAAAACGCCATTTTTTCCGGCGCCACTCGGCGATTACCTTTGGCGGTGGCAGAGCCTGCCGTCGCAGCATCCGACGACAATCCGCATTGGCCGAAGCGCGGATCGGATTGGCTTGCCGAAGGCCGAGCTGAAGGTGCCTTTGCTGCGGGCTGTTGACCCGGGGCAAGCCGGGGACGCGGGGTTACGCCGCGCCACGCCCGGACGGGCACGACAAGCACACAACCGTCACCAGGCACTCGTCATTCCATGTCTCTCTGTCGCACTCATGGGGCGCCCTCTAAGCGTGCGAGAGAGACAGAGCGATGAGTGTTCGGAATCGGGCCGCGCGGCATACACTTGAATGGGAGCCGTGAAAGGCTATTCGGCGAGTCTTCGTGTCGTGCTGCTAGAGGTAGGTTCGGGAGGCCCCTGAAAGGCTCGCGTTGATTGGTCGGCACGGCGCGGCGTTGAACCGAGTGCCACTAAAGCAGCTCATTGAACCCTAACCTAACCTAACCTCAAATTCTCATGGTCGTCCGCCCGCGCTGTGCCGTCGGCCCGACTGTAACGTGTTACGCTGACGCGGCGTTTGGCGCTGAGGCGCGCGGAGGTCGGCCACGGCAGGCCGTGCTGGCCTGACCGCTTAGCTCAATCAAGCGGTCGAGGATGTTCGCATTGGATCCGGCGGCAGACGGCGTGGCGCCGCACCGCGCCGCACGCGGTGATGTAGGTCAGGCTGGCCACGCTGAGGGCCAGAGCGGCACCAAACGACGCCAGTATTAATACTCGCTGTCTACACTCACTGCGACGAGCACGGCAGAGCAAAGCGGGGTAAAGCGGAGCACGGCCACCCGAAAGCTAGACAAATTACTCGTGTAAATGACTTCATCCCGGCGACCAGCCGCGGCATGTTTTTAATTAATTTTTGTTTCGTCGCTTGAATTTAGTTTTTTTCCCCTCTCTCTCTCTGCTGGCTGCCGGCAGTGTAAAGCCCCCATTTTGAGCAGGATGACAGAGAGGCGGCACAAAGTAAATGTGTGTCCAGGCCTGCCAACACGGCCGACACACTGACGTTGCCAACTGGCCGACGACTGGACAGTCATTTCCGTTGCGCGTCCGAAACGTCCAAAACTCGCGCGCGCGTTCGTCATGCCGTTTTCTCACGCGAATGAATGGTGGCGACGGCCTCAACAAGATGCACGGGCCTCATTACTTTTATTGTGGCGACTGCGCGATTAGGTTCGAACGGGGATCGAGGTCAGAATAACACGCGGCGCCGACCGCGCGGAACATGGAACGTGGAACCGGAATTAATGTCACAACGCGTGGATGTGGATGGTGTTTGCCGGGCGGACGGGAGCAAAAAGGGCCGATTTGGAAACGGGCGGTCAAGTTGACCTCTCCAAAACACAAGCTTCCGCGTACGGTGTGTGCGAGAGAGAGAACGGGCGATGGTGTGAGTGTTGTGAGAGTGGGAGTGACAGCGAGCGTGCCTGCTGGTGAGGCCGCTCGACGAGCTGAGCCAGCCCAAGCCCGCCGCGGCTACGAGTTCGAAGATGACACCTCCGACCCACAGCACTGTGCCACACACACCACGGCCCGGTCGCGCTCCTCACTGCAAACATTGCGAGTCCGTGCGAGTGCCGTGTCGCCGTGCCGCCGTCGGCCTACAGGTGGCGCCGCACGTTCGGAGCGCGGCAAGGGGGAGGGGGAGGGGGGAGGTGTCACCCGTTCCCTTGTTTTGAATGCATGGCAACCCACGGTGCATTCCGGCTGTAGGAGGCCCGGTCCCCGAAAGTTGCCGGCGCCGTCCGCCGCGCCGAGGTGTCGGTGTCGCCAGGCAGGCAGGCAGGCAGCCGCAGTCCCCTCCCGGCAGCCGCGGTAGAAACTTTCAAACTGCAACAGCTGCACCATCTGTGGTGGAAGGGGCGCAAAGTTTGGCGGGGTTATCGCCCACCGGCCGGGCTGTCCGGGCTGTCCGGCGTGTCCCCGTGATTTAGCGTTCCGGCTGCCGCGGACTGCCGGCCTCGCGCACCTCGCCAAGCTCCCTCGCGTCGCGTGCTGCAGCAGCCGCCAGTCGGCCAGTGCGAAGAGCGAAAATACCGAAAGTACACCCCGGGGAGGAAGCAGCTGATTCGGGCAGCGCTCTCTATCGCCACTCTCTCGCGACCAGCCAGACAGCGTTTTGTTGCCGAGTCTCCCTCGCACCGCGGGACGCCCCTTAGCGGGGACATCCGCTGCGCGGGACGGGATAAGTCGACTGCCACACCCGGAAGTTAACGCCTGCCCCAAAGCGGCAAAGCCAAGCGGAGCCCAAAGCGAGCGTTTTGCTGATTTCCCACGCCGCGTGGAAACCTCTTTGGCCCCTTCGGCGCCGCGTCGCGCCGCGTCCTGTCAGGTCCTGTTCGCAGTTCGCGACGCGTATTCTAGTCTCGCGCCGGGACTGTATGCGAGGAGTCGGTCCCGTTCGTCCACTCGTCGTCCACGGCACGGCCCGCGGCGCAGCCCGCGACACGGCACGCGGTTGCACGTGGTCGTCCGCACGTGTCTCATTATCATTATGCCGCCCAGAAGCTGAAGCGGCTGAAGCAGTGTGTGGCTCGGCGGCTCGGCTCGGCTCTCGCGTCTGCCTCGCCTAGTCCCAGTCCGCCTCAGCCCGGCTCGGCTCGGCATCGATGGGGCTCGGCGCTCGGGCCGGCTCGGCTGGGGGCCCCTGCTCGGCTCGTCTTGGCCCGGCCGCCCCCACCGCTAGGCCTGCCCGCGCGGCCCGCGTGGCGTAGCCGCGTAGCCCGGCGGCCCTACTCCCCGCTCCGCGCCGCAGTTTCCCGCTGGTCGCGAAACCGGCTGCACCGTCGCCACCTAACCGAGCGGGGTTGCGCAGGGCGGCGTGGGTCCGACTAGACGACGTCAACGCACGCGCGTGGCACAGCGCAGCGCGGCGCGGCGCCCGCGGTGGACTTTGGGAGCCTTGGTCATCTCCATCCAGTGCGTGCGGGACGGTGCGGGGCGGTGCGGGACGCGCGGCGCGAGGACTTTGGCGCCGCGGGATGGCCTCCCGGGCCGAGGCCGGCCGAGGCGGCCGTCGAGGCGTCCGTCGAGGCGCCAACCGCGACCTTTCGAGGCCAAGAAGACCGTGACGGTGGTGGATTGCTGTGATTTCCGTGTGACATATTGCTCGGCAAATGCCAGACCAGTCCGCCCGGACGAGTGCAGTGTCAGTGTGTGCGTGGCTCTCGACGCGGCCCTCGACGGGGCCGGTGTGACTGTGCCGGCTTGCTGACTCGAGTTTGACCTGCTGCTCTGCCTGCCGCCCTGCTTAAGGCCTTACCGGCCGCGGGACAAACCCCAGGTAAGCGCTGTGTGCGCGAGCTTAATTCATTTCGTCGCTGTCTCTCTCACGCCCCCCAGGACGCCCCATGAGAGCGACAGGGACAGAGCGACGAATCGCCTCCGTGGGATCGGCCTGCAGGGTGTTAGGCCGCTGCAGCCCTGGCCAACCACCGCGTTCTAAGACTCTTGCCGTGTAAGGTCCCGTCACGACGAAACGCAATCATGCGTACTGCGATAGAATATTATCTCACCTGACAGTGAATCGTGCGTGATAACGATGGCATTATGCGCGCCTTACGTGGACCACTGTGCGTAGCATGTTTGTCAAAGTTAAACGTGCGGGAACGAGAGAAATTTGGCACGCGCGACTGTACTGGAGAGGCGAGAATGAGAAAGGCACACTGGGATCACTGTTGTCTGCCCGGGCGTTGTTCGGGCGCGCCGCGTGTTGTGTTGTCGTCCGGGCTGGCTGGCTGCTCGTCTGCCCGGCCGGCGGCGGCCCGCAACCGCACTGGGCGCGCCCTGCCTGCCTGCCTGCCTGCCTGCTGCCTGCCTGCCTGCCTGCCTGCCTGCCTGCCTGCCTGCCTGCCTGCTGCCTGCCTGCCTGCCTGCCTGCCTGCGCCTGACGGCCGCAGCGGGGAGCGAGCTCGGCGTCGGCCAGGCCACCCCGACGCCCCGACGCCCAGCCCCAAACGGCAGCCAATGAGCGGACGGTAGAACGGCGCCGCTTGGCAAGCGGCGAAGAAGTCTCTGGTTCGGCCGGCCGATACAGTACAACAGTTGAGCGGTTTCGGATTATGCCAATCTGGCGGGCGGGCAGGCGATAGCGGGCTCGACGTCGAGGAAAAGGCCCTCCTCGGCCCGGAACAACGGCGGAACGGCCGCAGGGCGAGTTCCAGACTGCAGCTCGAGGGGCTGGCGCGCCATGGCGGCGCTGGCAGGACTCCGGGTCCGCGGACTGGGAGCTGGAAGCGCGAACAGGCACATCGTTTGGGACTCAGCCTCGCCTGTTACGCAACATGTGGCCATGACCATAGCTCTGACAGCGGAATTTCCATCCCGCTTGACATCTCTTTGCAGTCTGATCTATAATGGCCAATCTAGCCGTATTGCTGGACTAAGTGCTTCGGACTCCGGCGGCGGGAATCGAACCCGCGGCTTTACGACGCCCTGCGGTCACGCTAGCCACCAGCCTGCTGGCTGGCGTGGTTCCACTTCCACGTCCCGGCCGTCCCGGCGGACTGCACCGCCAGCACTACTCCCGCGGCAGAGTTGTAAAATTTCACAACTCGCCGCGAAATGAGTGCTTATTATCGAGCTAAAAGCCGGCCCTATCTAATGCCGAAGGGTCGTTCCGTCGCTCCGTCTCTCTCGCACCCCTGCGGGCGGCCCGCGAGTGCGACAGAGACGGAGGCGAGGGCAGAGCGGGTGCAATGCACGTCCAGCGAAGGCCGAGGCCGAGCCGGCTGTCCCGTCCCGCTGCTTGATAAGACGTCGGGGTTGTCCTGCGGAGCCATTCCAAACACAGCTCTGTCTCTCTCGCGCCCGTACGGTGCCCGCGGGCCGGCGCGTGAGCGCGAGAGAGACGCGGCGAGGCCGTGGACTCCTGGCCATGCAAATGCAGCCCGCGAGTTATTCGTCCCTCTCAGTCCGGCGGACAGGAGAGGGAGAAGGAAGGCAACTGTGGCGCTCTGCCTCGGGACGTCGCAGCCTTGCAGCACTCGGAGCCATTATCCGCCTGCACTCGCTGCACTCTGCACCCCCGCACTCGGAATCGAACCGGCGACAATTTTGGGGATAAGCATCTCGCGGGCCGCCGAATCGATGTCTCGATGTGGTCGGGGCGACGGATGGATGGGTGGATGGATGGGGACGCGAGGTCCCAGGCTGTTGCCGCCGAAACCGCGAGAGCAGTCCGCCTTGGTCCTGGAGGCGCTGGAATTGTGCAGCGCGTTCTTCGCTACCAGGAAATTTGGCCGTAAAACAAAGACTTATCGCCATAAGTCTTGGAGTGCGGCGTCGCGCTGTCCACTTGGCGTGCTCCGCCAGGCTCCGCGCTCTTCGCGGGGCCCTCCCTTCCAGTGGCGGTCCACCAGTGTCCGGCGTCCCAACCTCCCCCGCGCGCGCCCCGCGGGGTGCAGGCCGTGTAGGTACCCCGCGCGGGCGGCGCTCCCTGCGCGCGGAGTATCCGCAGCATCCGCCTGTCACGGGGTGGACGACGAGCGGGGCACCCTTCTTGGGGGCGGCCAGCGCGGCCAGCCTGCCGCCGGCACTGCAAGGCACGCGGTGCGGCAAAGCGGCGAACTTGAACCCGAGGCGGCCAGATTCCGCACTGCTTCAGCACGCCTTGCTCCAAGCCGCTTCGCCCCGCCGGAAAGACGCGAGGAAATTGAGAAAATCTGGGCAATACTGTCCGTCCGTCCGTCTGTCTGCTTGTTTGCCTTCGGTCGGTCCGCGGACGGGCCGCCGAATTTGAGGCCGCGATGCGCATACTTTATTGAAAAGGGCGCGCAAAGTGGCCGCGAATGATTAATTAAAACAAGGCCGTGATTGGCGTTGGCCGCGCCGAGCCAAGTCGAGTGGAACCGCGCAATGAAAGGGGCGGCGCAGGCCGCAGGGCCGCAGGGGTCGCAAGGTGTGGGAGGGCGGAGGGGGCCATTTTTCACGGCGCCGGAAGGGCGTCGCTTTATAATTGGTTCCCTTCTGCTCCCTTCGGCTCCCTTCGGCTCCCTTCGGCTCCCTTGGAGCGCGCCGATTTGGGCCAAATCGATAATGTGTTTTTATTGTGGCGCTACTAAATGCGCGCGTTTGTGTGTGTGTTGGGGTTGCGAGTGTGTGCCGGGGAGGGATGTAGGGCGCCGGCTGCTGGGGTGTCGGATCGAAGGACGAACCAACGGGCGCGCTGTCATTCAAGATATCTTTTTGTTTTTTTTGTTTTTTGTTGTTTTTTTGCGTGTACCGCTCATTTAACGTGCTGAGTGCCGCCGGGCCGCAGCAGGGCGACGTTAGTATTAAATGCCCCGCGTAGCTCCGCGTAGTGCCGACTGGGCTGTGCTGGGCAGCGTGATGGACCGTGCGTCCCATGGGGGCCATGTGCTGCCATGAAATCGAGCGTGGCCGTGTTTCCTGCACCGGCCCCGCTCGACGCACACACACACAGGCAGACAGGCTGACCGGGCGCGCGCGCGCGCCACACACGCACCAGCTTTTCGCACAGAGACAACACACATGCGCGGACTTAAATGGCCGCCAAAACTTAAATAGAGACGTATATTATTCATAAAATCCTGGGAAACACGCGTTTGCTCAGAATGGAATGCATAATTGAATTTACTGCGGACTCACATACACTCGGGCCAAGAATCGGGAGCGACACTAAATTAAATTTGTTTTCAGATTTCGATGCTCTTTTCAATTGCAATCGTGCCAGAGTAACCCTCCCTGATTAGTTTTCCGGATGATGAGGAATTGATCCCCCTACCCACACAACGCACCGCGCACCGCGACCGCCTTTGCATTAGCACGGTCCCTTCGCGCTCACACACACACACACACACACACACAGGCACACACACATGCATGCAGCAGCATGCGGTATGCGCGCGGTGCATTGGTCCCGGCGTGGAATAGGCAATGCGGCACTTTGGGCTGCCCGGTCCGTCCGGCCGCTTCCGAAGGGAGTCGCTCTGTCTCTGTCACACCGTCAGGGGCCGCCGTGCGAGTGCGAGAGAGACGGAGCGACATATTCCATAATCCGGGAAACACGCTTTGAAAGGCAGAAATTGAATCCCTGGGACTCCGTCGCCGGGCCTGGGGAGCGCAGAAAGGGGTAAAGTCGCCCTTTTAAAGCAACTGGAGTCGCCCTGATAGTTCTCCCATGGAGTTGCCCTACCCAAACGCCCGGAGTCGGGGGAACCGCCTTTGCCTTAGCACGGTCCTTCGCGAACCACTTAATGCAACTGACCGAACAGCACAAAAGGCAAGCCCATGCATGGAGGGTGCCGGGCGGATGCGCGCGGTTCTTTGGGCCCCCGGGCCCGTGGTGGCGAGGGCCCTTTTGGGGCTCCCGGCCCCCGGGCCGCTCAAAGGCGCGCTCTGTCCGCACCGAGGGGCCGCCGTGCAGTGCGGGGGAAGCCGGGCGACGGCTTTCCATTTCGCGGTGCTACCCCCCAAAAAGGGCAACCCGAAACCGTTTGGAGCCCCGTCGCCGCGGCCTTGGCGTTTTGGCGGAATGGCACAGTCGCGCCGCGTAAGCCCCGGACGCCCACGCAGTCGCCTGGGCCCCGGCCCGGGCTGGCCGTGTGTTCCCTGGCCGGGAGGGGGAAACCAAAGAAACCGGTTTTCTGGCCCTAAGCTTCCGTGTTTTGGGGCTGGAGGGCCTGGCTGGTCGCTGGCCGTGCCTTCCCGGCGGAGGGCCCTTTGCTCCGCATCCGCGGGAGGCCCGTGCCGGATCGGACGAGCTACACGCCGCAAGCACGCCGGCCCGGGCCATTTTAACGCGCTAACCCCTGGAAGGGAAAAACCCCCCATTTCGCGACTGCACGGTTGGCTGTCCGTGCCCCCGCCGCGTAGACGTTCGCCCAACCCCTTTCTTTTCCCCGCCCGAGATGGCGTACTGTTTACCCCGCCGGCGGAGGAAAGCTCCCGCTTTCAGCGCGTTTTTTCCGGTTTTGCAAGGGTGGGCCAGAAGACCGCGGGGAGGGTTGTCAGCAAATCCTCGAGATTTTTGAGCCCGGTTCCCAAAATGGGACTCGAATCGATCGCCGTGCCATCAAGGGATTCCCTAATCGGAAAGGAATCCTTTTGGGTTGGGGTCACACGTTCGATTCGAGTCCTGTTTAGCTACTCTGGAGCTCATATTAACGTCTAGATTTTTTTCTGCCTCCACCGGCCTTCTGGCCCACTGTGCGGCGGCACCTCTCGGCACCTCCGGGCACGCGGCGGCTGCGTGTTGGCGGACAATCTCTTTCTTTCCCGCTGCGGCTGCGCTTTTCGCGCTCGCCGTCCGCCATGCCTCGG